CAGGCCACAAATTAGAAAGATGTCGAGGCTCTCTAATGAAGTGTATGATCTATGGTCGAGGCTATAATTTGGGCAAGTGGAGTTTGCAACTTGTATTGTATTTAACAAAAACATAAACAAAGTTAATGAGTATTGAAAATGATCTGCAAAAAGTGCAAAAACCCAGGTACTATCGTTCTAAGGAAAAAGGACAATTATTGCGAAGAATGCTTCACAGCAAGTATGAATCACAAGTTTCGAGCATGCATTGGGAAAAACAAAATCCTATCGTCAAATGAAAAAGTTTTAGTATGTTTATCTGGAGGAACCGGATCTTCAGTTCTGCTGAACTTAATATTTGATGGCATTTCGGTGGACAGCCACAAAAAGTTGAGGATCAAAGTGTGTTTTCTACATGTGTTGATGGGTAAATATTTTAACATTTCTTGTATACCTAATGGCCTTACGAGCATTTTCGGTTATCTCTACTTTTTTCAGATGCAGCAGATGACAACACATTGAATCAAGCTCAAAAAATCATGGATCAATGTAGGAAACGGAATTTTAATGTACACGTAACACACATTAGTGAATACATGAAACCAAGTAGTGAACTACTTGAATCTTATTGTCTTCCTTCAAAAAATTTAAAATTGGAACAGGAATTCTCTAACTTCATCAATAAAATGCCTTCAACTATAAGTAATGATCTGTATCCAAAAATAAAGCGGAGTTTATTTATCAGATATGCTAAATTGTTAAATTGTAATCTTGTATTCACTGCTGAAACGACTACAACTTTGGCCAGCAACTTGCTTTCGAATCTTGCTTTGGGACGTGGGTCACAAGTCCAGAATGATGTTGTGAGTGTAATTTTTTATATGACAAAGATTCACAGTACAGTCAAGATGATATCAGCAATTAACACTGCTAATTTAAAATTACAACATTTCACCAGAGCCTATAAAAGGAAAACTCATGATAACTTTTTAATTTTCAAAGTTATATTATTACTTTTGTATTATTTTCTTGATTTTGAATTTAATTTAAACTAGGTGTATAATTTTGCATTAAAAATGCAAAATCAACAAAATTCAAGTTAGCTGTTAGTAGTGTTATTGCTAGTGTGAAGAGGACCTCAGGCTTGACACTGCACCTTTCATAAAGTACTGACTATAAGAATGTTGCAAAGTGTCAAGCGTCAGGTTGAAATTAAACCTTTATGCTCAGTTTACAATGCTGCGGAATGGAAATAACTTGAATTCTTGTAACCAAATTGTACATTGCCTAATGAAATTTGTCAATTATGTAATGTATAGACTAAAGACAATACTCCCCAAGACAAGCAACCTATTTTTTGGCTCATATATAATTTGTATATATAATTGACAAAGTGCATTATGCTTTATGCTATGGTTACAAAAATTCGCTTGTATTCTTTCTGCAGCAATGTAAATTGAGCCTACACCCTCTTCTCTGTGTATATATCCAAACACAAAATAATAGTATAGTCTGTAGCATAATGTACTGTTGTAACAGTAAGTGAGCAAGCTTTTGCTTAATACCTATACTGCATGTAGTATGGATTTTTGTATTTCTAGGGCTTGTGTGATACCCGGGATGATACTGTAACAATAGTTAGGCCAATGCGAGATATCAGTAAGGAGGAATTGGACCACTATTTGAACATAAAACAGCTGGAAGTACCACACTATGATAAAACTAAACAAAATAGCCTGCAATCAGTGATTAATACCTTTGTAATTAATTTACAAGAAAGCTTCCCAGCTACTATTTCCACAGTATGCAAGACTGCTGACAAAATTAGTGCTATTGATGAAGTCCAAACAAAGGAAACATGTATTATGTGTCAGGTAAGGGTCTTATTAATGTGTTGCAATTTTGAATGATACTTAATGTCTAGATTAACTAGAATAATGTTATTTCAGAGTAATGTGGGCACTGAGAAAACAACATTAACAGCTTTTGATGCTACGAATTTTTCAAGAACAATTTCAAATTCGGAACTACTGGACGGCGGAAGTTCTAACCATTTACACTTTACTGAGAATAATATTAATAAATCAATGTTTCCGTTTATTTATAAACATTTATGTTTTAGCTGCAGCAGGAATTACTCTGAAATGAAGCACACTTTACCAAATCATGTACAGAACTTGTTAAAAGATAAGTGAAATGAATAAAAAGTACATACTAATTTTTTGCATTCTTATATCATTGTTATTCGCACATTATCACTTTATTGTATGAAGTATTAGTTACCTACATAAGTCAACACAATAGTTTCTATTTACTAATTTTCCATAATAGAATAAGAGTTCATTCAATCAACTGATCATCATATATGTACACTAAAAAAATAATTGTTAAATAAAACTAGATGACTCTATTTCAATAAGTCATCATTACATAATTTATTTATATGACAATATAAGGTATTGTCGTTACGAGAAACAGTAATGCGTACCTCGATAATAAACCCGCGGCCGACTATCTTAAATGTACCATGTACAAATGTTGCCGTATCAAAGTACAAGTAGTATACAGCACAGTAAGCACATCTAATCATTAAATGACCACTGAATGGCTATTAGATTAGCTAATTGTGTTGAGAAATGACTGAATTAGCACATTAATATCTAACTCTTGTGTATTTCTTATCATCTAAAATTTACTAACACCAGAGGGGAAACACCGCAAGTTACACAGTGTAGACACCTACGACGGCGTTTCACACTTGACTTGTTTATGTGAGAGGGATATTATGTTGCAGCAAACGTAAAATAATCGAAATTTCCAGGCAAAAGTTAGTATTGTTTATTAAGAAAATTTTGATGCAACAACTTTATTATTGTAACAAAAAAATATTATTTAAATCAATTAGTGAGACTCATCTTTAAATTGAAAATAATGACTTAATTTCTGTTGTTTATGAACATGTAAATGTAATATGTAAAAGGGCAGCTAACATAACTTACTATAATAAAAACAATATTTTACCTGACATTAGCTAATTAATTACTGTTACTGGTCTCCTTTATAAAACATGTAATACAATTAAAGAAAACGATTAATTAATAATATTAAAATTTTGTATTTATATCACACATATCTACAGTTTACTTCTATTACATAAATACAAAATTTTAAATAGTATACCAACGAAAAGCTGCTAACCAGTACATGCAAATGGTATGCAGGTGTTACCAATATATTATACAAGTAATTACAATACATAGGTTAATAAATGCAAAAGATCAAGTGCAATGAAACTTGAATGGTTTACTTTATCTCAATAAATTAATACGGAAGTTCATGTAAAAAGTAAAAAAAAAACAGGCTTTACTTTACAATTTCGTATCCATCAATTATCACCTTTAAAACATGTTCACTTCAGGGACCTGCTTCACAATTTATACCAGAGATAAAACACTTTAACGCAATGAATAAACCAGATTTACTAATATTAAACACTAAATTATATTGTCTTTCCAAATTATAACTGTATTTATCAAACATTGGAATTACATTTAAAGATGTTGGTTCACTGTCTTCTGCCTAGGATATTTACACCACCAGTGGCCTCCTTTTGGTTTGTTTACAGTGTCTCTTCTGGAATCTTGTACAAGTACATATTCAATACATATTACCATTATAAAGAGCATTACTGAATCTTTGTAACAATTATTCTGCAGCATTTATTGGTCCTTGCAATACATTCGGAGTTGGAGAGGTGGAGGACACCATTCGCCCTTGCTCCTTCACAATAGGATCTGAAACAATAACATAAAAAATTATACACTGAACTTCAAATTTTATGGTCCTGTTAAATCAGACGACAATAACACAGTTACTAAAAAAATACAAATTATATTAACATTATTAATACAAAGATTGAACACCAGGAAAAGTTCCTTCAACCTGACAAGCAATAAATAGTCAAATATGAAATTTTAGTATCAAACAAAATCATCATAAGGAACAAGGTAACTGAAACTTACAGAAGTATGGATGATCCATTGCCTCCCGAGCAGTGTAACGCTCATAGTGATCATAACGCAGCAGGCGATCAAGAAAGTCCAGTGCCTCGGGAGACACCAAATGTTGATTTTCAGAGTGCACAAATCTTTCCCACCTCTTCCGGGAATGCCTATGAACATTAACATATAAGTTACTGGGTACATATATCTAAAATTACAATGTTACTACAAAAAGTTGTTCCATGTTCAATGAAGTGTACCTTCCAAGAATATCATTAAACCGGGGATCCAGTTCTATATGATATTTATCCAAATATTCAAACAGCTCTTCAGTGCCCAGCACCTTTGCAATACGCACAAGCTGATCATAATTGTCGTGACCATGGAAAAATGGCTCCTTGCGGAAAATCATTGATGCAAGCATGCATCCCAGAGACCACATATCTAAAGAGTAGTCATACATTTGATAATCCACCAAGAGTTCAGGACCCTGAAATAAGATTATTACATATTTGTCATTGAATTCTTAAGTATTACTGTGTTTATATTGAATTAATAGCACACACTGAAATGTAAATAATTATAATAAATGTATTAGAGTAATTTATCAAATTAACTATTTAGAATGTAATGAATCATAAATATTACCTTGAAGTATCTAGAGGCAACTCGAACATTGTACTCTTGCCCTGGGTGATAGAACTCAGCTAACCCCCAGTCAATGAGACGTAACTTTCTGTTATCATGATCGATCATCACATTATGAGGCTTCACATCTCTGTGCATGATGCCCATACTGTGGCAATAATCTAATGCCTTCAGAAGTTCATACAAATAATACCTGAAAAAAAAACAATCACATTGATAATCCAACTACAATAAGGGGAAATCATAACTTTTTGCAGCCAAATACATCTCTCATTTTCCTAATATTCGGCACAAAATAAAAGTTTTAAATGTCTATACCTTATGTCATAATCTGAAAGGGTTTGATACAATTGCTTAAAATCGGTGTTGTTCACATGTTCAAAAATTAGGGCTGGAGTACGAGATACAGGATCTTTGACTACAGCTTGTAGTGTAATTATATTTGTGCCTCCTCTTAAGTTTTCTAATATTTTTATTTCTCTTTTAATCTTCTTCTTTTTGACAGGCTGCAATAAATAAAATTGTTTGTTTAAGCAAATACCTTGAAAATGATCTCAGGATATATTTAATTGATTGTTAAATGGAAACAAACCTTCAATATTTTTACTACACACTTCTCATTATTTGTGATATTTATTGCCTCAAATACTTCACTGTATTTTCCACGCCCGAGCTTTCGAACCAGCTGGTAGTCTTCTTGATTGCCCCAATCCACTACATAACTTTCATAATCCCAGTACTCTCGTGGCTTTTGTGAGTTCACATCGGCATATACCCGAGCTCTACTAGGTACTGCCATTGTATACTTCCAAACCGTCGAACCTAGGGGCTTACTGGCACTAATCTTTCCGGAAATCGCATAAGTCTTGAGTAACGATACTGTGAACAAAAAATAAATAGGTCACATGTCTGCAACAATGCCACAGTTATCAAGCACTTTTATTTTGATCTACGTTAGCAGTTGAATCACAAGAACTTTTGATTACGAGTCACTCTTCAATTAGGATTGTGATGTATAACCTAAAAACGACATCCAGCTCACTACAATTTTACACTAAAACCGAAACAATGCAATAAGGTTATCGTTACATATTACAAATTTCACTGCATTATTATAAGGTTAAAACTGTGTTGCAGAACAAAAGCATATTCATGGGATCTGACGGCACTAAATAAAATTTGAAAGTGTCTTCAAATGAAAAACGCACGCCATTACTCGTCAAATGATCGAATGGTTCCAGTGGATATTCATACCTAACACATTACTGCATTTATTCCTATTTTTTAAGATGAATTATTGTAACACATAAAACTTCATGAAAATTCGCTAAATAGTGGTTTTTGAGCCACAAACTATTCCTTTATCACAAGTAAACCGGCTCAAATTCAGCAAAATTCAAGATGGACGCCCACCCATCTACTTTTTGCTCTTCCTCCCGCCATCGCCACTACACCATTTTGTAAGTTCAACTGTCGATTTCAACATATCGATACACCAATTTCGAATGTTGAAATCTACAGAGCCTTATAACAAACATTACTTTGTTTCTCAACTTTTATATGAAATCAAACTGAAATAATATCAGTTTAAAAAGCATTTTAGTCGCAAATAATGAAGCGAATGAAAATATATTACAAAAAATATTAGATAAAATATCGATTAGTTGCTATTATCGATGTTTCACATCGATTAAAATGTTAAACGCGTTGCGTCACTCGGTACTTTTTAACGTGCATTGTTTTCACAACGTTTCTTTGTGGTCATGTTTGCTTTAAAAAAAATGCGTTGTAACAACTAAATAAATTTTATTCTGTTATAAAATATGTATTTAAAATAAAAAATTGCTTTTAAACCTACAGTCGATCCAGTAATATAATATTTGTGCAAGTGATGACGAACTAGTGCGAAATGTGTTTAGTTCCGATGTGCTTATATGTCATGACATGACATAAAGTGGTAACACATAATTATTCTGAGAAGGTTCAATAGATGTCTCTGTATTGTATTCAGACTTCCTACTGATGACACGAAAGGATGAATTAGGTACTTGGTGCGGGTCAAAGAGAATTTAAGCACTAATGGTGTGGGTGTGGGGTGTGCCAACTCGGTCTCAAACAAAATTGAATGAATTTGATTTTGAAAATAGATCAAGGGTCCTGTCGAACACACACGAAGCGTATATTTATTTCCTCCATACATGATATCTAACTTTGAACAGCATCCAGACGACATCCACTATTGAGCCTATGCTCACTACTGGGTCCATGCTGCAATGCCACCTACTTGTGATACTTAAATACTTGGGAAAAATTGCAGAGCATTGAGATTTGAATTTGAACTTAAATCCGTATATGTTATTTATTAATAAGTTATAAGAATACTTACCAACTACGGTACGGAGAGTGCCATAAGTCCATGATCATCAAAGATTCCTTAATCACCAAATAGGTAGATGATAATAACGATAGGTTTACCGCGATTATGTAGAAAAGCAAATGTTTACCGATACCACTTCCGGTCTACGTTCGTTTGACAAAGATGAACACACAGCCAGTGTGCGCGCAAAGTTGATTAGTTCATCAACGTCGCGCCATAAGTCACGCTCCATTTTTGTCTCGTATACTTCGACTTAGGCGATGCTGACAGCATTGCTCAAATTATTATATTCTAGCGATAATAAGCGATATGAGTGGCACACTAATTATGACACGTAATGTAGAGAATACAAATAAATCAGCGTCACGCGCTTATATCACCCTTTGACCCGCGTGAGCTGAATATGGTGCTCACTTATACACTTATGTAGCATACCTCGCTTTATTCATTGCTTACGCCTAAGGGTTGGGCGGCGTGGAAGAACGATATCCTATATAAACAAATTAAGAAGTGTCACTCTAAAATCAACCTAAACCCTTATTCACATCTAGTATTTTCACGCGATGTGAACATAGCATTTACGTCGAACATGAAAATCATAAAAAAATAACGTTAAAATGTTCTATTCAGGTCTTACCAAAAACTAAAAAGCGTAATAATATATACGGCGTACTGTAACCCATTACGTCATATTTTCAACACTGGAAGGAGGCAACAGGCAACAGAACAATATCTTATTAACTTGTATTATCTTTATTTTCACTATATTACATCAACTACAAGTTAAAGAAATACAATCTTTGCGGAAATTTGAAAGCTCATAAAACATTTTATTCCATTTCGATTACCATAAAAAAATCGTATAAATATATTAAAGAACGTATACTTCTACTACATCCAACAACAAAACTTGTGACTAATTAACTTTATAATTGTTGACATTGCACTTGCATTATAGGTTTTTTGAAGCACCAAATGTTCTACCCTCGACTTAGCGTATCTCTTCCACAGAATACGTACTATTCCAATGAGAACATTATTGATGACGACCCTGCAATTCTAAGAGTAAGCTTCCAAAATTTCATACTTTTTGAGCCCGCATTCTGTGCCTCTACCATGACTTTACTGTGACAGTTGTCGCTAGCGACCGCGTAAATTACTTCACAAATTTGTATGGCAAATTATACACCGCGCCTAACGGCCACACGTAGAAACAACATTTTGTATACAAACATTTTAAACGGTCGCTAGCGATAATTGTCACCGTAATCTCATGGTAGAGGTACTCACACAGCTATACCCACACTTGATCAATGCCAAATTTGGACATAGGTTTTTTTTAAACCTTTTTGACTAGACATTAATATAATATGTAAGAATAAAAGTAATAAGTACCAGGATCTCAGCTACGACTGCCTATTTACAGCCTTTGGAGTCGAAACCCTCGGCCCGTGGGGTCCCGGTGTCCTTCATCTGTACAAAATTCAAACTGCCTCTGTGGCCGAACGGTTACCATGCGGGACTGCCACGCAGAGGTCCCAGGTTCGATTCCCGGGCCGGGAGAAATATTTGTATGACTTACATTTGTTTCACTCGTAAGTTTGGGTGTAATTTGTGGTTGTCTATATGTGTGTCCATGGCACCCGCGACACAGGGTTTCCCTAGTGCGGGGCTATGTTGAGTGTGTTAAAAAAAAAATATCGAAAAAATTAATAGACTGTCTGCCACCACCTGTCACCTTGCCGCATTCGAAAAATCGTGCCGGCAATCTTGGATTTAGAAATGAGTGCCATATTCGTATTGAGCATCCCCAAATACCTCGAAAAGGATACCCACACTGCACTTTTTTGAAAAATCGTGTCCGCCATCTTGGATTTACAAATAAGTACTATATTCGTAATGAGCACCCCGAAATACCTCGAAAACGATACCCAACTTGCCATTATTCCAAACATCGTGCCCGCCATCTTGCATTTAGAAATGCGAAAAGTCGTGTCCGCCATCATGTATTCAGATATAAAATGCCATTTCCATAAGGATTACCAAAAATAATTTTTTGAAAATTCTTGGCAACCATCTTGGATTTAGAAATTGATGCCACATTCTCGAAAACGTCTATAATTCTCGTTGTCGATCGACAATGTCGAGCATATCTGTAGGCACCTAATCGACATTGTCGATCGACAATGTTGATCGTATCTGTAGGCCCTTATGAACTTTTGAGTCTAGGCAAGACATTTTTTTTAAATGAGTGTATGATGAACGAGAATAATGATGTTTCACATGAAACTAATGAAGGCAAATACTAAATATATTTCGTAAAAATAGCTAACGTAAATTCTCTACAATGTTGCCGTGGCTGTGTACAATTGTAGCAATTCTGCAACCATCGCGATATTGCCTATTCTCAAAAAATTACGTAATACAATTATTTTAAAACAGAATAGCAAAATGGGGAGAAAAAATTCGTTACTTTGCAACATTTTCGTGTCTTGTTGCAACGTTAATAAAAAAAATTTATTTTCTGTTTTGTGCGTGTATGATTTTCAGTGAGCACTGAAAATCATACTCAAGTCCTTGCAATTAGGGTCGTATTTCCAGTGCTTGAAATCATACTCAAGTCTGCTCAAGTCCTTTGAATAGAGTTCTGGAATACGACCCTTAGAGGATGGAAAGAAATAACCATAGTCTAAGCTTGATATCGAACGATGTGATAGCTGGAGCCGATTCTAGTTTGTCTATGAATTAAAAATAAAAACTACGGTTGTGTGAAATGCGTGAGAAAATTTTTTATTTGCCGCCATTTCGCCAGTCGTACATGAGGTTCCTGAATACATTAGAGTGCGGACAGAGAGCTTATACGTGAGGCGCACTATAAGTTTCCGGAATGAATAATAAATACTATAAATGGTCAGAAATGAATGTATTGTTTCTCAAATTATTCTCCGTTAGCGTTAATGCACTTTTTCATACGAATGAACCAATTTTTAAAACATTTATGCCACTCCTCCGTGACAGTCTCTGAAACATATTTTTCATACTGTAAAAAACAAAGCAGTAAAAAACAATGATGCACAGAAGTCGGCTATAGCACAACATCTCACACAGACTGACACTAACCACTGGATCGAGTTGCATAGCCCCCAGGTACTCTCGACAGAACGTCACTACATACCACGGTTGGTACGAGAAGCCATCGAGATCACGAAGTACAAAACATTTAACCGTGATGATGGTTTTAAACTGTCCAGTGCATGGAATCCGGTCGTTAGTGCGTACAGTAATAAAAACAAAAACACCTCGAGTTCAGTTTCGCGTGTGGATATAGTGAGTGTGGTTTGTGTGAAAAAAGTGAGTGACAATGGTAACGCCACAACAAATCGCGATGAAGGTAGTCGTCGACAGCGCAAGAGGGTACACAGATATGTCTGCTCATAAAGCTGTCATCTGCCGCCGTCCAGTCAACCCGTGACCATGGAACGTGCAACCGTTCCGAAATATCGGGAAAATAAAAAGAAGTCATACCGTGGTAAAAAACCTGATACTAGTGATAATCATTTAGTGAATAACCACGAAAGTCTTAAAATCTATATAACTAATTTAATTTCTCGCACCATTAATATTTCTAGTACCTATTAAAAACTGATTGATTAATAGATTGTCTAGCACGTAAAAACACGTTTATAAACGTATCAAATAATGTTCCACAGTTAATTTAGTAGGTTGGTATACTAAATTTATTGTGGAATACTATTTGATATTTTGTCAATAATGTGGAAAATAATTATTTATTCCAATGCAACTCCGTGATTTTTGTTCGCTGCGCTGACCGGAAGCACGCGAAATGCAATTTTTGATTAGGCGCTTGTAGATGTAGTTTGCGAGTGGCGGGGTATATGGGCGTAGCAAACGTGAGTTTTTTTCGGAAACCTCTTAATGCCACAAAACGTCGTGTGGTGGTCCTTCAAAGGTGTCCCTAAATTGGACAAATAATGCGTGTAGGTGTTATCTGAATTGGAGCTACATCCGAATGGTGCAGGTTCCACTCATTATTCTCTTAAACCACTATTATATCAATAAGAACCACTTTTACTACAGTGACCCCTCCAAAATCGAGAAACTGCATACTACACTTGACCAAAATATATAGTTCGAATGAATGAGTCACCTTCCTTCGGGTGTAACGTAATTAACTTACCACTTTGTACAACACAAAACACTGTACTGAGATAGAACTCTTCCCCCGCCCCGTCCTTTCGGAGAGCGTAAATTATGCGCAAGAAACGTAAGTTCTCTGCTTTCTCACTGGTTTAAAACAATTAAATTCAAACATATACCTACATATTTATTGAATAATCATAAGATACTTAAGCTTGTTGCACAATGAGAAGAGATGTATTGTTGACACAGTGTGCCATGGAATGCTGGTCGTTCTCTTGGCAGATGGAGACAGCGAAGGCCGAGCCCACGAGGTAAGTGCCGGGCGCCGCGCACACTGCTCGCACTTCGACTTTGCGCGATTCGAACTTCTCCAAAGATACGCTCACACCTAACTCTTTTGCTTCTGCTTCACTGCCACTATTCAACGCGCCTGCCCACCCTAGCACACCATACGATTCTCTGAAAAAAAAAATAATCTTATGTACATACATAATCCCCACAAGCCTGTTTCTCACTGGGGTGGACAGGAAGCAAAAGGCCTCCATTTGTACGTATCATTTTTATACGGGTATGTATTCTTGGCACTTGCCACCTGACCGTTTTTAAGGATATCCTCAATCTATTATTTACGTCGAAGGCAACGTGTCCCCCTACGTCTGCTCTATATGTTTTGTCGTTATTCTACTAGCCACAATCATTTTCATATAACCAAACTATTTATCCTAGTTACAACATAATCTTTTACACCACAACAATTTCTTATTACACTCTTTCTTTCTCTAAGAGTTTACTGCACAATGCTTTCACTTCTACAGCATTTACCCTACTTTCATGCTCGTTCTGTCATACCTAACATTTATAGGAATGATTGTTTAATAAGTAGACTTACTTTAGACCACTGCCTAGCCCTGGAGCAAAGATGGTGGAACGAGCAGAAGACGCCTATTCAATCGTACCTTAAAATATATTCGGGTCGTATATGCTCGGAAACACAGACGCTTTAAACGATGACAAAAAGTGCTTAGTTCGTCTGAAAGGAACATCACCAATTAAAGATGATATCCCGTCAGACGATAGAAGAGGGAGAGCGGAATGAACTGGTACAGCTCGTAAGCTCGCTCACCGAATTGCATGTCAATTTTCTGTAGAAAACTGACATGCGACAAACTTTGCGACCACGGTCTAAACTATGAAGTTTAGACTCGAGCTTATCGTCGCAAATAAGTCTTCTACTTCTGCGTTCAACCGAATCAAGAGCCTTTAGTTGGTATTTCACTGAGCCATCTATTGTTCATGAACAAGTCCGACCAATCACGAAAACGGGACACATTCTACCTCACACTTATAATGCACGTTTGTAGGAATTCCGTGTATGCCTCGTGTACTGTAACGTAAGTACTGCAATAATTGTTAACAGATTCAATACTTGAATCAAACGGCTTTGTACAAACACGACTTGGCACCGATACGCTGGCACTACGCCTTTCCTTCAGTACATATTTAAAACACTTTTGTTTTTACAACTCACAAATTTGCTTTTAGTATTTCTATAGATGTCATCACAACCTACTCTGTTTCCTGTTCTCATATTTTTCACTACTTGCAAAATTTCATTTACCCTCATTTCACTTTCTCATTTCCATTATTCTCTTTGTTTATGCTAATCTCAATATATTTATTATCTTTTGTGAATACCCTTTCAAAATATATTCCATTTATTAAGCATGGGAGTTTGCTTCATTAATAATATTTTAATTCTGATCCATGAAAATATTTAGCTGCGAATCTTTAAACTTTAAATTAGTTGCTATTATAAACTTCTAAAATATCTTTAATGCTGCCGGAAAATATCCGATCACCTTCTGTTAAATATTCCTAAGAACCTTATAATGAGGGAAAGTGAATTAAGTGTTCATGAAATAAAAATGAATCCATTACCACTTTACCTGTTTTGTTGCTTCGTCATGTCGATAAACACTTGCACAGGAACTCCGTTGCAATTTACGATATTTATCGTAATAGGTACCAGGCACAACTTTCTTTGATTGAAATTATGTATAATGTTGTTCGAGTGTTCTAATCTAAACGTGATCACGTTATCTTTATTTTTCTTCTTCGTTTCGTTCAACTCTACTTTGCTGTCGTAGTCTTCTAATTGCAAAGTAGGTATATCTATGGGCATATGATGTCTCTCTCGCGATTCTACTTTATTAAAGCAATTCAACCAAAGGCAATGTTGACCGATTGTAGTTTTCCCTTTTGATTTATAGTGTGCTTTCCATCTCAGCACAAACATCGATTGAATCAAACCGCTATTCTTCTTATCCTTCGCTAGCGGTTCTGGAAGGTCGGTTAGTGAAGACTTGTACTCCACTATAAATTTGGAATAAGGTGTAACATTAATATCATCATTTGCTGCAGGGCTACTTGATACTTTCAACCGTGAATAGTCAATTTTGCCCTCGGGTAATGTTTCCAAAATTCGCAAACCTTTAAATATTAGATGTAGCCTTTCGTGCGACATCAGATGATCATCTTTATTCCTGGCTGCAGTGAGATCCGTAAGTTGCCACTGTCTGCTGAGCAAGGACGCTTCCAAGATTTCAATTGAGACATCCTCATCTGTATCGTTGAAAACGTTCTTAATTTCCACAGCCAAGTTTAAGTTTTCTCTTGTAATATTTTCGACAGTACGAAGACTTCTTCTCGGTGTAATCGAGACCTCAACAGCTTCCTGGAATGTAATAATTCAATAAACCTTTCACACCACAACTAAATTTTCTTCAAACAAAACTAAGTTTATTATGATATTATTTTTTATATAAAAATACTCCACTACTTTGTTATTATTATTGACAACTGAGTAGGCAGAGCGGTTGTCACGTTGAGACAACAAACGCTGGTTCATATGCACTCAGATCGAAGGACTTTTTCTTTGTGTTTATTCGAACTTGCTATCAATAAGTACAATCATTACACCACGAAAAAAAAGAATTTTGTTAGTCATATTATGGTTTTTTACGTTTTTTGACGGACAGAAATAATGAGATATAAAACTCAATCAGTGCTAGAAGTCAGCAAACAAACGTTTACGTTTTACATTACGTTTACGTCCATTGATATAATAATAATAACGTACACACTCATAGCCCCGCACTAGGGAAACCCTGTGGCGCGGGTGCCATGGACACACACATAGACAACCACAAATTACATCCAAACTAGAAAGAAAGAAATAAATGTAGACCATACAAATATTTTCCCAGCTCAGGCGGTTGTATCTTAGCAACATAATTAACTCACCGTAACTTTGAAGTGGAAGACGTGGCGAAGAAGTCGGTATGGTCGCGCGGGGGCACCCGTCTCGTAGTAGACAAGAAGGCAGAGACGTGGCGCGAACAGGCGCGGGCGCAACAGTAGTTGCGCGCGAGCATGTCCGCCGCTGGGCACAGCCGTCGCCGCCATTACCGCGTGGCGGGCGGCTAGTGTTCGCCAGGCAACCGCGCGGCCCGCACGCTCATCTGCAACCCACCCTCATCAGATCTCGACATACCTTTATAAGTTGTACCGCGCATATTAACTCAACACCATGAGATCGCTATGCCAAGATCACAGTTTTCTTAAGCGTCTGATAAACTTATCTAAGAAGTCTCTCAATTGTATCCTTATTTCCTCTCCGTGAAGTCTGTTTACAAAAGAAACGGTAGTATAACAAATATCTTACCGGCGTAAGTGAGCGGTTCCCGAAATTTCTCCTCGTATAAGGCTTTAAAGTCATCAGGCGCCTGATCGGTGACAAGACTGACGCAGTCGGGGTGCGACACTGCGACGTACACGTTTCTCATGTCGATTGGGCCTACATTGCGGAACTCGACGTCGATTGTTCGCATTTCGCCACTTAGTACCTCGGGGTCGGTCTCAGAAAATGTCATCTAAGAGTAATAAAATTTCAAATTCGTAGCAAACATCAAACTAAATAAACCGTGAGAGGTTGTTTTAAAACGTGAGATGATATTTTAAAATGTGAGAACATATTTTAAAACGTGAGAGGTTATTTGTATTCAAAAGTTCAAAATTGCTAGTCGAAACGTTATGTAATGATTCTTTATTACCTGTAAACACGGAGCATGTGATATAACTGATATTTGCAATCGTTTGTCCGCGTTGTTAACGCCAGACAGGAGGTCTAACTTTCCTGATATCATTACGTTTCCAGTTTCGTTGTCCCTTTCCCCGACGTTGAACAACCTGCAAAATTGTCGCAATATTATGTGAAAATCGGTCGTCCTCACAATAAAATCCGTGCCAGAATATCAACCAGGAACACATAAAGAATTGTGTTACTGTCGCGAATTAAATCGCGGTTTAGTATGAGTTTTGTAATATCAGCATTAACAAATTTAATCTATTATGATGTTCAAAAGAAGGGAACTAGGCCGGCAGTTCTGGCGTGATATATTCTGAAGGTGAGATGTCAGGAGTCTTTGTTTCTATGACACCAAGTGATGGGACGAACAAGTCGTACGCCTGGTAGTAAGCGACACGCCACCATAACAACTGCGTTGCCACTCCAAACTTTAAATCACAAAGATCTGAGGGGCACTGCCGCTGCATCCGTCACCTTAAAACATAAGTTGACAAGTGCCACGTGCCTATAATCTAACCTGCATTCTTACCCTGCAAAATCGAAACGCAGTAATGCTCATATTACAGCTGGGCAGCAGAAATAGGTATGGTGGCAGTACTTCCGTGGACGAACTCTTTCACAAGGAGCTCTACTGCTACTTAAGTCTGCTAGGAGTACACTGGTCGGCACTACAATTGGTGAGTTTGTACAATGTTTATTGCTCATTTAGATGCATAATAAGCCGTTTGTACAGAAAGTTTATGACAATGACAGTAAATCTAACAAAGTAAACTAAAGTTACAAGATGTATATTAGAAGAATTGATACGCAAATTTATTATTAAAGAAATAAAACTATTCTATTATTAAGCACTAATATAAAGAAAAGTAAAGAAAGAAAGAAAAGAAAGTATGCACAAACAATATGTCTAAAATATAGGTACCCATTTAGTTATTTTAGGCATAATATATAAATTAAATATTTAGTTGCATAGCTATTGCACAATAATAATTAAGGTTCCTTTTTTATTGTTTATGGTACTTTACATTTGTTATACGTGTATTTAGATTAAATTATAATGAAATAAATTTATCTTCATCAATTAAAGGCTGGTCTGATAGAAAAGTATGTCGCACAATTAATTTACATCATAATAGGGCCGATAGTTACATACATGAACATGGCTAATCAAGAAAGTTGAAAGGTAACCACGCATTATTTGCACCATTTAATCCGAAAATTATAAGAGACTACGTGCTGAAGACATCATCAGCAAGAAAAGGACAAAGGAAAGCTTTATAACTTTCCGTATACAGGGTTATTTATAAAACTAATAACATCGCAGGGCTGTGTTACTTACATCATAAACAACAAATTTTATTCCATTACTTTTCACAACATAATAAATTTACCAAAAATAAACTTTTTAAATTTTTGTTGTACTGTCTGACACATTTTAGATCAGTATCCGATAGTAAATTTAAACGTGCAAGAGTCTTCCCCGACGACCTCTACTCCTGCGTTTTGCATCGGACTGGTATTTTTACACTAGTGCTTTCTTATGTTACCGCGCTGACTTAGTGTCATCGTTTAGAGCAATCTATTTCAATATTTTTATTTTTGTGTGAAAGTAAAACTCTATGAATAATTAAAAGTCATGAAACAAAAGTTGTTGTTTATGATGTTAGTAATGTGGTCCTGTGAGGCTGTTAGTATTTTACAAATAACCGATCACGCGGGCCTCGCGTAATTTAATAGAAGAGAAGGTACAGGAGGGGAAAAGAACAGGTAAAGTAAAAGCTTAAAAGCTGTAACAAAATAAAACAACGATATAAAAACAGGTACAATGGTATAAAACACATCCTTACAACGGATTAACATTTAACGAAAGCAAACTTACCCCAAAAGGGCCCGTATTCGTACAAATATTGATGTTTTATAAGTAGTTAGGTTATAATAATAACTCTTTATTGCACAAAGAAAAGATACATGAAACACAAGTTATAAAGGACATATACAAAGGTGAGCTTATCTCTAGAAGAGATACATGAAGGGTTACATGATTTTCAATGGTATAATTGGTCAGAATTTTATATGAAGGCAAGTACGTGTGCTCGCTTCGGAAATTTAGTAGAGTGGCGACGGAAAGAAGAAAAAGAGAGAGAGAAAGTAAGAGTGGCGAAGAAAAGGAAGTTAAGAACGATTCGAAATTTCAAAACTAGGTGGCGAAGAAAGAGAGTAAAGGGTGATGACGATGGAGCAGGTCGCATCGTCACAACCCTGTATAGTTATCAATGAATAAAGCACTTACTTGTACGCCAATGCGTGCACGCACAACTGCCCAACACGTAACGGAGTCAACGAGAAAGTAACCACTTTTTTACAGTCCCCTTCCAATAGAACAGATTTGATCTTCTGTCCATAAATAACATTAGTATCTAGAACATTCCCAGTAGCGACCGTTGGTTCATTATTTAGAATCTCTTTTGGAGCTTCAGGATCGTCTGCACTAGACACAAATTTCCATAGCAACTCTACATCTTTTAGGACTAGAGAAATCTTTAGGGGATTTCGTAACGTTATCGATACTTGTATAGGTTCTGAAACAGAAATATTATGCATACAGTAAGATATTTCTAATTATACAACGGGATATAAGTATGAACATAGTATAATAAGAGCAAGTAGGGCAACTCCCGTCTGTTTTATGCATACGCTTCGTTCGGAGCGTAGGGTTGTAACCTTTATTATTTCAGTTGGACCTACAGGTTGTTACATAATTTGAAAAAAATAAGGTAGTCATCACAGCATTCTAGTGTTATATTGAAATAACATTGGTTAAATGCAGTAGGTAAGTACATACATATTGATATTTTTATACCACTATCGCGGATAGGTACCTTGATTACGGCGTATGTTTAAGAAATAGAAAAATAAAACGCTGAACTATTCTGAATTTGAGACAATCTCCTTCAAACCACCACAAAGTATTTGATGTTATTTTTAAACACCTAGCGACCGCTTCAATTTTACAGAGCGACTTTTTTATCAGTAGCCAAATTTTTTCTACTTGGTATTCAGACCCCATTTTTGAAAAAGAAATAATAGGTCAAATATTCACATTAAAATGAATTGCCCAAAATAATAATCGGTATTGTTTGGTTATCTAGTCAATATAACACGCCAGTCAGGCGAATGAATGGAAGTACTCCCGGGGGAGAATCTCCGCGGCGCAACCGCATTCATTTTCATTCTCCGCGCCATCGAGTATATAACCAGAAAAAGAGACGAAATTAAACACAATTAAAATTTAAATAAACTTTATATAAATTAAACAAAAAAAAACTACAAACAAAAGAAAACACATTAGCGATACAGCTCTTATAAATATCAACTCTCGTTTGCACTGAAATATAGACAGGCCAACTACTGACCTGTGTGTACGTCTCCGTATATTCCAAAAAATATTCTGTATATATTGTAATAAAGATAATATCTCTAACAATGCCATGTTGTTCTAATCGGTGGTGTGGGAAAAACAGCTAAACATTTAGTTACAAAACAAACGGAATCACATTTCATCGGTAATTAAATATTAAATATGTAATTTTGCAATTTTCGTCCATTATAGCAAAGCTCAAGTTAACTGGTCGATTTGAAGTGAAACAGTTGACGACACCCGTCAATTGTTTCGAACTCGGGCTAGCCAATCGGAGCGCAGTTGTCACAGTAATGATATAGCAGAATAGTTTTCAAACAAATTAAATGACATTTCGTGTCTGTTTCTGGTTATATACTCGATGCTCCGCGCCATGCAACGTGAGTGCACCGCGAGATTATGCAAATGTGTGTGTACGTACACAGCGTGAGGCGGGCATGTACACATACAAGCTACGCTGCTACGTTTATGTAGAGTTACCATTCTTGTCTTATTATACTATGATACAAAAGTAGTTATTTATAAACAACTAGAATAGCAAGACGAGGGTCACTCCGCGTAATACGGTCAAACCATTTATTTTAAGTCCTCAAAACTTTATAATTTTAATTTTTTTCTTTAAAGTGAGCTTTCAGTTGTTTTAGGTCAACTTCAGTTTCAATCAAAAACTTACCACCCTGTGGAACAATTGGGTTAGTATCAGTTTTTTCCGTATACAAATCGATTGTTGGTTTAAATATCATGGGAACGCTGCCTTGTGCGACTTGTAAGAGCATTTCTTCCAACTTATGCCAGTACTGATCTTCATGCGGTCGCGCTTCGTCGTTAAGGCTAAGCGACGTGGCTGGAACGCGGCTTGGAGACGATAGAGGCGCGGGACCAATGCAAAGTACTGTGGTAGCTTCGGTTTCTAACAAGGGTAATGGTAATGCGGGTAGCCGATCTTTGTAGTCCTCTGCGCCTTCTAACCATTGCTGTAAATAACAAAATTTTAATTATTTCTATAATTTTATCAGTTTAGTACTGTTTTATACAATATTATAATAATGACGCTATGTTTTCTTAGAAATAGAAATTAATTTAAACTTTACAATAAAACGAGCGTTCTTCTTAGACCTATATATTCTTCGTAATAATAGTAATTAAAATTACTACTAAAGTTTCTACACAAATTTTCGTGTTGGTCTTATATACACGCCATAAGACGTTCTCGTTAAAACGTAGAAATAAAAGAAACCGTAAGGGTCAGCGCAAAGCAACGGACGGCAGGGGAGAGTATCGAAGAGGATCTCATGCCCGCCAGCGCAAACTGATGAGGGATACCCTGACGATCCGCCAGCGTACCACAGGGTTCACTGGAATATCGCGGCATCCACCGACATGACACCAGTCGTTCGGATTTAATTCTGGCGCAGTCAAGCAGAAATTCTTGTGAAATTACAGGCACATGGGACTTGTCAACTTATGTCTCAGGTTGACGGGAATAATACATTGCCTCGCAAACCTTTGCGATTCAAAACTCTGAGGGGCACTGCAACTGTTATGGGCAGGCGTGTCGCTTACCACTAAGCGCAAAAAAAGAATCAAATAGGACTCCGGCGCATACAGGTGAATTCCCGTCGCAAAACCGATGCCTCCCGCCACGGTATCCTCTAGCGTGCTCTTCAATACCTCAGAGAGAAACGAGATGTGATACTCCGAGGTCGGACTCAGAGCAATGAAATTTATACCGTATTTATGTTGAAATAGCATAAAATATAGATTGATCAACTAAATGTGCTCTGCCTTCCACGGAAGAAAAAAATAATGGAAGCGCCTTAAGCAGCGTTCAAAATCTCCAAAAATCACGGTTACAATCTCCAAATTTGGGGAGAATAAAGTTCATATTCCCCACAAATTCCCCACATCTCGAGTTTTCATTATTTATTACAAAAACATCTCTTAAAAATAATTATAATAAAGAATTAAGAAACTCAAAATGTAACCATCTATTACGTTTGCTGTGAATGTAAACAGAAAGTAAAATGTAATGCAAATTATAAAATTAGATGACCTAAAACCGTTTATTTATTTTAATGAATATAATACACAATATTTACATTAATCAAACGTTTAAAAAAATCTTTTTCTTTGCTTTACAAAATTAAGTAACTTAATTATTTTGTTGCACATTTGGTGACACTATGGTTAATGTAGAAATAATCAATGAGTAAATTCAGTTTCAACCTATATTTAATATTTAAAGTTGACGAGTGCCGAGTGGTAAGTTGTGGTGTGGAAATACCAACTGCTCGGCTTTGTTTATCAATAGCTGATTTCGCTTTTGTTCAAGTATTTTTGTTATGTAAACCATATTTTTGAAAATAAATGAACACTTTCGTTGTACACTGAGAAATTAGCAGAGGTCTAGTTTTGATACATGTTTTTAAATTATTTTTGATACTAGTTTTGTTAGACAGTTGTTCCATTTGTAGTGAAATATTTTTTTAGATGTGCAAGTTATTTGAATTATGAACATAATTTTATATGTATTGAGTTTTCTGATATGCACTTCAATATTTCCCATTTTACAATTCAGAACCAAAACGATCTGATAATAATTCTGTTTAAGCTGCTTGTTAACAATGCGAGGGATGTGCGATATTGAAAAACACATTGATATAGTTCATCACAATGTTTCTAACAATAACGATCAAACTAGCGATGCATCGATAGATGCAAGCAATCGATAAATTAAACAAAATCATAAAATGTTATAATCCCCACATTTCCCCACATATCACCAATCTCCACAAAATCCCCAATCTAGTTGAATTTCCCCGCAATTTGGGGAATTGGCAACCCTGGCCTTAAGCCTCGATTACTATCAGAACTGATGCCGCCAAATGAGTTTTGGCGAACATTCTTAATTTGAAACATTACAAAATCTTGATATTGGTCGTAGTTTCAAATTTAGAAAGACAGCAAATTCTGGATTGTTAATATAATTTAAACTTTACCTCGTTGGCATATCTTTGAAAGTTCAATACCATCAATATCTATTATTACAAGTTACGACGTTTTGATATTATATTGAAATTGCAACATTCTGTCATCTAGCGGTTAAATGCTGAACTACGACGAATTGGAGTTTATTAATTTAGTTCTCCAAACAAGAAGCGTAGCATATTGCATAAGCTTTACTTTTGTTTCTTGTAACAATAAATATTTCGATAAACAGAAAATTTGAAATGTATTAAAATAGGACTTTCCGATGTTATGAAATACCGCCACGAGAAATATATTTGGAGTGGCTACCATTTTTGCACTCCAAAACATCACAATAAGGCATTTTTCTAGGATCTTAGAAAATTTGTACGAAAGAAGGACAACCATACTATACAAAGTGAAAATGGCGGACTGAGCTCAGGTAAGTCTTTCGAGACCTATAGTTGGCACGCGTCAGACTAACCACTAACTCAGACTAGTAACTAACCACTTCTACTGTATTTATTATTCTGTGCCCTAAACTGCATGTGGTAATTCAAGGGCCTCTGTACCTGGTGCGCGAGCATGTACTCGTGCAGGAAGGCGGTCTGCTGCGGCGCGGGCTGCAGCGAGTGAGGCGCCAGTGGCGCGCGCAGCCAGCACACGGCCTCGCGTGCTAACCGCAGCGCGCCTGCCAGCCGGCCTAGTGCGAACTGCACGTGGTCAGTTGCTAGTCGCCAACCGCTCTCGGCGTACACCTAGCCACAGTTGAGCATATAGCCAATCTATAACTTTAATCTCCTAAAGCGGTGTACGTTAACATGTACATAATATGTGAAGTGATTCAGACTCCTTAGAATAATAACGCATAGAATGATAGTTTCATATCAAACGAACTGTCACAAGTGAGGCAAAAATCAAATTCATGTAGGCTAGTTTTAGTAGTAGGTTAATTTTCGGTTTTAGTGAATATTTATATAAAAATACAAGTTGAAACGCGTTACTTCCTTGTGGAATGTGATGTTAGTATCTATTTTATGTTTGTCTGACGTATTTTTACACTCATTTATCGCACATTTCGTCATTTTTAGCTAAAATTCTTGAGCTGTTCGCGGTGCAAGTTGACCTTGAGCACTGAAGGCCCGCCCGCTCGTGTAGGCCCTTTGGGCGCGCTTCAATTTGCCTCACTTATCGTGTGCGGAGTAGGTTCCTATGCGTTATTATTCTAAGTCAGACTCTATATTTCCTGGGATGACGTAAACGCCCAATACACATTATAATTAGGGAATGCATCTGTATAATATTTGAAATCCGGATTTCGAAAACGGATTTCGCAGCGAATCCGGATTACATAGATTTAAACAGATTCGCGATTTAGTTGAAAAAAAGTATGTTTTGATATAATATAATTTTAATCTAATCTTCGATAATGTTATAACAAATTGAAGGCCTTCGATTTTGTTTTTATAAACCCATTTTCTGGGCAAAGGCCTCCCTTGGGCAGCATCTATTTTCAAAATCAAAATAAAGAACAATACAAAAGATACCACTTCGTAACTGTCAATAAAATTTAACACAAACAAAAACGTAAGTGTTTAGAAATTACCTAATATTTTTTCTCTAAAATAAAAAAAAGATGTTATGTTTGTTTTATCATAACTTCGTAACTGTCAAAAATCTTTTTATATCGTCACAAAAGCGAGTATTCATAATGTTCTGCAAATAAATCTAAATATAACCAGTATACAATGTGTTGATTTACATTCTCGCCATATTTACAGAGGTCATTATAAATCCGAAACTGAACCCAAATCACTAAAAAAATAAATCGAAAAAAATAATCCTAAATTCTCATTTTTTTATTTAATTGCGGTAACCATGCTTGACCCAAAGGTCATTGACTTGCACTACACGTGCCACAGGTACCGGCAACCATTTGAACAATAACCTATGCGCAGAAAATATGCATTTTAGATCTATTTGGTGGTAGGGTACGGGTAGGGACAGGGGGGAGTATCGTATCGAGCGGGTGATTGGTAGATCATCAGTCGATCTTGCGTATTGTGTGTACGTTCCGCTGACATCACGCATACGTTCTAGTTTCTCACGAAATGCAACATGGTTTGATATGTAAACAAGAGTTAGTACAAAAAAAACCGCTACCAGGTTCACCAGACCCTGCATTACCATCAAGTGCGTTCTTATGGCATGATGTTGTGAAAAATGTGCTAAGTTGAAGCGAAACCCAACTGTCTCTCTATCTAGTATATCTATCACCAGCTGTGGAGCTAGGTACTTCTAGCAATACTTTCATGTAACTTAAAGTTGGTAAGTACCAAATCTAAGTTACAAAAAATCTTTTTTCAGTCAACTTTTCTAACTAATGTAAATAATTTGTAAACTATAACAATACTAGTACATAAACATAATTTAAAAAATAGGTAAATAAGCGATCGAGAAAGATTACGTATCCCTCACTGAAGCAAGTGGCGGGGTCACTGTCCTCTGCGGTGAATACACTTGGGCACAATTTTACAAAACTTTACCTACAATTAGCCAGAATATTGAACAGAACATTTTTCTTCATATTTTTAGATGATTTAGCATTATTTCTATTATTAATTTCTTAGATATGGCGAGATTGGAAATCAACACACTGTATAAGTTAAAGTACACTTGCACAACTGCCTATATGCTGGTCTGGTACGCAGAAGGCCCGGGTTCGATTCGATCGGAGAAATATTTATTTAGTCTACATTTATTTCTCTCGTGACTTTGGGTGTGATTTGTCGTTGTCTATGTGTGTGTCCATGGCACCCGCGACACAGGGTTTCCCTATTACGGGGTTATGAGTACGTGCGTTATTTATTTTTATTATTTATTTATACAATGTTTCTTCGCAAAATTTGATGTTCGCGAAATACACACGCATACACACACAGGGCTAAACAATCTAAAATATGTACCTCGTAAGCCTGTTTGTAACATCTGTATGCATGTTTCTTTTGACCGGCTTTCGAGAATCTATGACCAGCCAGCACCATGTGAAATGCGTACTTTCGACACATAGCCTTATGTCCAGGGCCGGAGAGGAAACATAAGGCAGCCTGTTCCAGTAACATAGCACTTCTCAAGTCACTGTCTTCAGATGTCATGCGAATTAGTTGTTTGGCTGCCTCTCCATGTAACCCTGAGCTTTTTAAACAAAGCACCGAGAGTAATGTGGCTCGTACGGCGTATTGTACCATTCTAAAACAAGAAATATAAATATGCAGCACAATTAATCTTGTAATTTTTTTTATGTAAAGAAAGAGGCAAACGAGCAGACGAGCCACTTAATCCCATTAAGTGGTAAGGTGGTCATTGTCACCCATGAACATTTGCAACATCAGATGAACAGCCTATGCGTTGCAAACCTTTGAGAGCCCTGTAAAGACGCTTTTTGAAGAATCCCATGTCATAGCGCATGTCATTCCACATCTTGCAAGTTCGAGGAAGGAACTATCAAGAAACCCGCATGATTTTACAACGCCAGGCATCTAAGATTTTATACAGTATTCCAAAGAAAAGAGAAATAAGTTCAAAATTGTTCTTCCTACACTGTTTTACTAATTCTATCTGCATTGCTCAATCTGCTAAATACACGCTATGTCAACGAAACTTTTTCATATACTAACCTGCAAGTATTCAAATAAGTGACGATACTTTCTTCCATGTAACCGTGTGTCTTACGAGTAGCTTCACCGGCCATGAATGCACTAATAGCTGCCATCTCAAGTGCGCCCGCGTAGCACAACCAAGCGCTGTCCGCGTAGAACTCTCGCTTTGCAGTGTGGTAAGTGTCAAAAGCCCGGAGCCATTGACCGCACATGAACCAGAGGTCGCCGAGGCGACGCAGCTGTAGTTCCGGACAGTCGCTTGAATAACTACAAAATAGAAGACATGGTAACGTAAAGAAATTTAGTAGCAGTAGAGCTCTTTGAGGAAGAATTCATCCAAGGAAGTACTGTCACCTTACCTATTTCTGCTGCCTAACAGTAATATCAGCATTACTGTGTTCCGGTTATGGAGGGTAAGGGTGTTGGTGAAATTACAGGCACATGGGATTTGTCAACTTATGCGTCACAGGCGCAGTGGCAGTCCTTGTGATTTAAAGCTCTGAGCGGCACTGCAACTGTTTTAGACAGGCGTGTAGCTCACCATCAGGCACACGACTTGTTCGTCCCGAAAAAAAAGTACTTTCAAGTTTTTTTTGTTTTAAGTATACTTTCCTTACATAAGAAATAAAGATTGTTTAAGTTTAAAGACACATTATTTCAGTACTGAAATAGAAAGAGTCAACCTTATGGAAGCAATAACATGACCGAAAGTGACAAACACATTACGTCCCCTTTCTACCTATTTTATAATTTATTAAGGCTACATCATTGACTTACAATTATATGGACGTCGGGTCCGCGCTAAAAAGTGTCCGCACTTGTAAGGCGCTAAAATCGTATACAGAGCGCGACACTCCGCTTTAGTCTTCATTTGTTCTACGGACAGCGCGATACTGCGATGACATAACAATTTAAATTTCGAATAGGTTTACTTGGGACATTTTTTTCGTAGTTTTTGTATTAGACCCGTCGTCCATTTATTTGTAAGTCAATGGGCTACATACATATATTATATAACATTGTTGTGGACTGTAGTATTTCCAGTTTTGCCTGTGTTAATCCATCTCTTAATAACAGATTTGATTTACGTATACATATATGTATAAAAAGTAGCATAACTGGACTTCCGTGTTCGAGTGGCTTGCACACCGGTTTTCTTGGTATCGCCATCTCTGTGGTCCCGGGTTCGATTCCCGGCCGGGTCAATGTACAAATTTTTGTACTGTTATTTATTAAATTGTTACTCTAGGTGTTTGTGGTAACGTCCTTGTGTCTGATTTCCATAAAACGAGTGCTTTAGTTACTTACTTTGGGATCGGAGCAACGTGTGTGATGTTGTCTAACGTTTATTAATTTCCTTTTTTTACCGTAGTACCCTCAGACATTTCCATTGATGGTACAGAGGCAACTTGTTTATGCCGTCGTTCCATTACGTGATAGTTCCATGGCAAATGTTTTATTATTACGATTATTATAATTTATAACAAAACAAGGGTCACTCTATGATCAAACCATCTAATTTAAAGTGAGCGTTCATTTGTTTTTAGGTAACCTTCAGTGCCAATGAAACTTACACCCTGTACGGCGGATTAGTGTCTGTTTTTTCCGTATACAACGATTTGTATACGGAAAAAATTGATCGATATCAATAATTTATTTCATTTTTTTTATTAAATAATTATTATGGCTACATACATAACAGTGTTGTTGACTGTAGTATTTCCAGTTTTGCCTGTGTTAAACCATCTCTTAGTAGCTGATATGAGGGATCTACTGACGCCTTTCTTCGTGGCCACCTACAAACAAAATGATTACATGTTCCTTTTTGTAACATTACATTTATCACGTATGCAGTTCGGCGAATGTTACTACGCAATAGCATCGACTTTATTTATTTAGTATACTTTATATTAACATAAAATACAGATTCTAAATCTCGTGTTTTTTACTAAATTATTTATAGTTACAGATTTCTTGCCATGCACGGGGTGAATTTTCCTTATTACCAAAAATATTTCGGAATAGTTCCACACTCTATGGTTAAAAGCTATAAGAAAAAACATGTCTTAAAGCTGCCAAATGCCGTTGTCCCATCAACCCGTGGAGAAAAATGGAAAAAATCATACCGTGGTGGTAAAAAATTTGAAACTAGTGATATAAAATATTTACAATAGACGTGTGTCGATCGTATCAAGGACCTGTGACACAACAACCCGGCCTGTAAATAACCCAATCATTTTAGTTTCTGCATATAATTTTAGAGATTTTTCAACAATTCACATAACACTGTCTGGAACTGACAACATTATTGTTGTTTCGTTCACTCTTACGTGAAGTCCCCACCCACACCCGGTTCGCCTTCTCACTCTATTTGTTTGGGTCGAACGAATGTTCGATCGAACCAAAAATTCAATCGACTGGCCAATGAGTCAATCAATCATTCATCCTAATTGCTCTGTAGCGTTGTGTCCATTACATGGTAAGTTTAATTAGTTTTTCAATGTGTTGTGATTATTCATGAGTGCTCTAGCTAATATTAACGAATTATAAATTAGTAATTTTCAATGCTCACGAGTTTTCTGTTGTATTTTTGTTTTGTAGGAGTTACTTTCTAGAAAGAAACCTTAGGGTCGTATTCCAGAACTCTACTCAACGCTCAAGTCAGGATTTGAGCAGACTTGAGTATGATTTGAAGCACTGGAAATACGACCCTAATGGCAAGGACTTGAGTATAATTTTCAGGGCTCACTGCAATACTCATGTCCTGACTTGAGTATTGAGTAGAGTTCTGGATTACGACCCTTAGGGTCGTATTCTAGAACTCTATTCAATGCTCAAGTCAGGATTGCACTGGCAACACAAGCACTGGAAATACGACCCTGATGGCAGGGACTTGAGTATGATATCAAGTGCTTTAAACCATACTCAAATCCTAACTTGAGCATTGAGTAGAGTTCTAGAATACGACCCTTAGTGTCCTAAGTGTGGTTTATCAATGATGCATTTAAAAATTTTATACATTACCTATTAGCAAGAAAGAATAAAAGCTAATTGTATCATTTGACACTTAAAAACGCAATATGGAAGTATCGTGAGTGACGAGTGACCCGTTAAAGAATCGATAATCGAATCATTTAACCCGATCACATTACGCATGGGTCAAGATCTACCCGGGTCATCATATGTGTTCGATCGATCCAGGTCTAGTTTACAATGTAATAATAATTGTTTTTATGTTTTTTTTTTATAAAAAATAAGTGCGCATTTGACCTCCATCTCACCTGATGGAAAGTGACGATGAGGCCGACGATGTAGTATGCACACCTAAATAACGCCTATTCACTCTCGTCTTGAAAAGGTCCAAGTTATAGCGTTCGGGGAACTAGTCTGAAGGCAGGGAGTGCCCTAGGCGCTCCCCATACAAATGGGGAAGCGAAACGCTTTGTGCTAATCCGGGGTATATCCACAACATATGGTGGAACCCCAGCCCACGTCTAGTCCCCCGGAAAGAGGAAGGCGGAATCAAATTATGCAATTCCATCGCACACTCTCCGTGATGTATCCTGTAGAATGCCAATAAGCTGGCAAGTTTACGGCGGTGTTCAAGGCTCTGCAGTTTCGCCTCTACTAATTTCGAGTCACCTATAAGCCTCTTAGCACACTTGTCTATTGAATATAAGGTGCCAGTTGGTATTTAGCAGAGCCGTCCCATAAGTGGCAGCAGTACTCCATACACGACCGGGCTTGTGCTTGGTACAGCTGAAGCAACTGTCTCGGTGTGAAGTAACGCCTCACCTTGGAAAGGATGCCAAGCTTCCAGGCTGCATTTTTGACCACAGATTAAATGTACGACTCATCCGTAGAACAAAGACCTATGTGCAACACTGCTTATTCTCAGGACACTGTACACTTCTATCGTTGTTCTTCGCTGTGGATAACAGATCGACCGTTGTTCGATTTTACGAAATAACGACGAAATAACATATAAAAATTCTGAATTTCTTCTTTAGATAGGCCTTAAGTTGAATTACGAAATTATGTATTTATCGTCTTTTCGCTGTATAATCACATCGGACTCTGTTCTCCGGGTGAGTCGGTATGTGCCGAAGTTCAGATTAGACGACAGGTCCATTCCAAGTAGGTGAAGACGATCGGCTTATCGGTATGGATATATCACGAAAAGAATGATGGATATATGATGTGCTTTAGCAATAACGTTTATGATCAATAGAGGTGTCAATAGCGAGTAGTCTATAATTAATATCGTCTTTAAATGTACATATCATTAATATCTATTTTATATCTATTTCTATTTAAACAATGACTTACGCCTTCAGAAAGCTGGGCGATTAGTTTTTCCACATGTGGTAACAAAGCTTTAGAAGCATATTCTTGCATAAATCTTTTTATTTCTTCAATATCACTAGCATTTAATGCTGCTCCATGGATTTCGGTTAAGAAATCCAAAGCTTTGCCTGATACGCTTACGCTTTCAGAGCTGCCAGAGAAAGAATGCGTCTGGAAATAGAAAAAGAAAATAAAACCTCAGTATATAAATATTGATGATGATGTTTATTACAATTCAAATTACCTGTAAACTGTTAGCATTATCATATATATCATTATCAGCTGTCAATGGATGAATCGTCTCTGGATTTATTGACACGGACAATGTGTTTGGATCTGCTCCTATACAGAAAATAAGGAATTCAACATTATACAGTTCTAGCATTCCAAGCTTGATACTCTGGACATTCTAATGGCATAGACCTGAAATACGTCTAGTTTAGGCGCCAGTCTCCCACAATATAATTCTTTCTTTTTGTTTTTTATGTATAGTGCTTCAAGGAGAGAAAATAAACCGACTTATTATTGCTATTATAGCAGCATAAGGCTGAATTCAAATCTTAAATGTTAAACTTGACGTGGTCTTAGCGCTGTACATACATTAAAGGCTTTCAGTCTAGCTGCTTTTCCGCGTCTCGGCGAAAATACGAATCTCGGTGCGATTTTGAAATTCCCGGGGAAAATACGAAACTCGGTGCGATTTTTAAATTCCCGGGGAAAATACGAAACTCGGTGCGATTTCGAAATTCCCGCGGAAAATACGAAACTTGGTGCAATTTTGAAATTCCCGGGGAAAATGAGGCTCGAGACTGTTTCAAAAGTAGGTTTCCATACTTAAAAGCTAAGCATTTAGGCAGCCAAAACATGATATTTTAACAAGTTCTTTATTATCTCAAATTATAAAATGAAAAATATTTATGAAAGTAATTTTTTTTACGTAGGTGAGAAGTAATTTTTGTTACTCCCGTTAATTACATAAAAATTAAATTTTTATAGAATGTCAGAATGTTTCACCACCATGATATTCAATTAATTTTTGTGAAATGACTCTACTAGTTTGTTACAATTACTATTAATACAAAGGTCGAAAACTTAGAAAAAATCCACTCTTGAGTGTTCATGATCATGTCCATGTAACCAGGATAAAAAAATACTGTTGGAAACCAACAGTATTTTTTATATAAAGGGTCTTTCAACAAGAACTTTGTTTTCTAAAACAAAATAAAACAAAAAATTTAGATGAAGATGATTCAAATTTTTATTGTATTACAAAGAGAAAAGTTCGGCAATTATGAATGAAAAATGATATCTGGCAAATGTCCACCACGACCACGCTGACAGAAGTCGATTCTTTCATCAAAATTTTTAATCACTTTTTGGCAAAATGTCGGGTCTATTTCGGCTATCACATCACGGATTTTGAGTTTTAAGGCTGTAGTCGATTCGATTGGCTCCGTATAGACTCTGTCCTTAAGATAGCCCCACAAAAAATAATCCAGTGGTGTTAAATCACACGATCTGGCTGGCCATTTAACAGCTGAATTTCGGGAAATTACGCGATCAGCAAATTTGGTTTGCAATAAATTGATCGTCTCATTGGCTGTGTGACATGTAGCATTGTCTTGTTGAAACCACATGTCAGTGATATCCATGTCATCAATGCTAGGCCAAAATTGTGTTGTTAACATCTCGCGATAGCGTGATCCATTCACCGTTACCGCATTTCCAGCCGAATTTTCGAAAAAAAACGGCCCAATGCCAACTGCACAAGTCACATTGCCACCGAAACAATGAATTAATTTATTGCAAACCAAATTTCCCAATAATTTCACGAAATTCAGCCGTTAAGTAGCCAGCTCGATCATATGATTTAACACCGCTGGATTATTTTTTATGGGGTTATGTTAAAGACAGAGTCTATACGGAGCCAATCGAATTGATTGCAGCCCTAAAACTCACAATTTTTGAAGTGATTAACCAAATAGACCCACCATTTTCTCAAAAAGTGATTAAAAACTTTATGGAAAGAATCGACATCTGTAACTGTGGTCGTGGTGGACATTTATCAGATATCATTTTTCATTAATAATTGCCAAACCTTACTTTTATTAATACAATAAAAATTTGAATCATTGTCATCTAAATTTATTGTTTTATTTTGATTTACAAAACAAAGTTCTTATTGAAAAACCCATTATTTCTGAAACACCTCATAGAAAACATTCTATCCTTAAAATAGTTTTTTACCTGGACCACAAACATTTGCAGGAGGGAATGTGTTTTGTGGCTCAAGGGGTGTGCTGGTGAGAGATGATGATATATCAGTCTGAAAATAGAACAGACAAAAATTTGAAAACAAGAAACAACACAAAATTTTGTACCACCCTAAGAAATAATATGACGTCCCTTTAATGAATTCATACAGTTTTTTGCAGCTACATGAACAATCACAAAAAAAAACCATAAAACAGACACAATTCGGTATCCGCAAATAATGAATGAACATCCATTTTATTTATGATGCAAAGTTATTCGTAAAATTTATCATGAACATTTGTTCCATTACTTTAATAATTCATCAGATTTTTCTTACGTACAAAAATAAAAATGTTTAAAAAGATAGCTCTAAACGGTGATAACTCTGTCCAATAACAAAAGAAAAAGTAAATACCAGTCAGATGCATATGTTTTGTAAAATAAATAAATAACGCATAGCCCCGCACTAGGGAAACCCTGTGTCGCGGGTGCCATGGACACACATATAGACAACCACAAATTACACCCAAACTCACGAGAGAAATAATTGTAGGCCATACAACTATTTCTCCCGGCCCGGGAATCGAACCTGGGACCTCTGCGTGGCAGTTCGGCATGGTAACCGTTCGGCCACAGAGGCAGTAAAAAGTTATGAACCAAAAGTTGCAGTTTATGATGTTACTAATATTTTTAAACAAGGTTGTTAGCATATTACCAATAACCCTGTATATTCCATATTCAGGTATATTGACATAGACACTAATTAATTATTTGAGCAGAATATATGTTGAAAACTTACTTACAATCGTGTCAGAAGCTCTTTTAATAAATGGAGTCCAATAATCAGAAGGCAAGCAAGAATCAACTGTAGTTTTGGAGTTGATGCTCAGCATGAAACAGTTTGATGCGCCAAAAGTCTGTTTCAGTGTTTCAAAGGCTGCATCAGCCCTGAAATAAAACCATATCTCTTATTTCCTTTAAGTTCAATTATGTAAGTGATGGGTATGATAATTACTATTATTATAGTATATAAAAGCAAGAACTAATACAACATAGTTTCATACTCAACCACGAAACGAGTGGTACAAAACTAGATTTCTGAGCGTAGCGAGGATTTCAAGCTACGAGACGCAAAACAACTTTGCGGCCGAGCAAAACACTCAACTTTTCTCCTCACTATAGCGAGGAAAATCGTAGATGAAAGAAAAAAGTTGAACTATAAAACATAATTTATTTATTTAAAAGAAATTGTTTATCTTCAGATGCGTTCTTAATTTTCACCTCATCAATTTTTATTTTTTCTTGTATTTTAATTTTGTGTGATTATTGAAATTAATTTAATTCTTCAACGAATTAAAATAATTTAATAAACACAATTAGTCATCATTGTCAATTTCATGTCAACAACAATAAGAATAAAATATAGAAACGGATTTATATTACATAAATAAGTAACGTACGACAAATCGCGTAGTTGGACATGGCGTTATCTTTTTTTATTTCATCGAAACAAAAAGTTACGTGCACCACAGTCCATCGTCAAGTTCGAATTTCGAAAACCTTCTCCACGCTAGCGTGCAAAAAACGCGTTTGCGCGCAGGTTTCTAATGAGAAAGAAAGCCTTTGTGAGCTAGTGAGGTGAAATAATAATTTATTATGGCATTACAAAGCCCAATTGACTTTAACGCTTTTGACTGGGGCACATTGGTAGCCCTATTGTGGGATAATGACTTCCCGCATATTCAAAGAGCCGCACACGATTTTAACAATGTGCATGTTTTGGCTTCATGTTTTAATACAGCTAACCATTAAATCAAATGATAGTTTAGTTACAGGTTTCTAAGGGGAGATTCATAGAGGAAACCCTATTTTAAACAGTAGGACATGACTTTTAATTAAATAAAATAAAAAATCATACATACTTTTCCTTGGTAACAGAAGAAACATCATGCAGCAAAAGATAAGATTTCAATATTTCATTATTGAACCACTTGGGTAGTTTAGGTGGTGTTACATTCTGCAATTGAGCATACTGCTGGTTCAGACTATTGTATGTATCAATTATATTGTCATCATGAGTTGTGCCAACTATGATGCAGGAAAGGAAATGTTTAGTAAACTCATGGTCTGATGGGAACTGGACATCTAAGTATGCTTCCCTCCATGCATCAAACCATGGTGTTGATTGTGGTATATCAAATTTACGGCCATCTGTAATATTGACAACAATATAATTATTATGATAGTTCTCAGTGTGATTTATTTATTTAAACACTTTATTGTAAGTAACTTACAAATTTTCAGAAACAATTTAAATATTTGTGTACAAAGGCGAGCTTATCCCATAAAGAGATTTCTTCCAACTAACCTTTAAAAGTGATATTTTTAAATGGGCCAGTATGGGGAAATCCAAAACCATAAGTACTATAGAGAAATTGCTTTTTGTGAAAACAAATTTCACATAGTCAATTTTTATAAAAATGAATTATTCGTTTTTTGTATGAAAAAACATTTTATTAAATACTTCTGCTCTCCTGACTTTTTTTCCTCCCATACAACGAAGCCATTCTTACAAGAAACTGAGTCAATCCAAAATTCAATATTATTGATTTTTAAAGTCAATGCACGCTTGACCAAAAAATGACTACTTCTAATTTGTTTTAACAAAAAAAGACTTAATGGTTCCTTACAGCTTTTATGTATCTGTGATGATATCAGATTTCCCTATACAGTCCCTCTTGAAAAAAATCACACAGTATATATTATAATATTATAATTATAATGTCTTTAAACTTAGGTCTGTTATGACATATATGATGAGGTAAATACATATAAAATGTTATAGTAGCTTGCCTTATCTCAAATGGTAAGTAAGAACAAAAAGGAAATAATATTCTCATGATTTTTTAAATAAATATTTCAACTTTATACCCTTGTGTGTATTTACCGATTTCAACAACAACAGTCTTCTCATTGTAATTATGCAAAACTGCATTATTTAACTGCCTCCTTGCTTCAGTAGGCTGTAATGGTTTCCAGGTCACATCTCTTATGACCAATTTCCAGTTTTTAACAGAACATATACTTCCACCTGGCTCACGGAACTGACCTGCAAGAAGATACACCAAAATAAACTGCAAATATTTATAGACATTAGTGTAATATACATATAATCATTATGAAATGATACTACAATAAAAAAATAACAATTTCATTAATCACATAATGAACAACAATTAGACCAGATGCCTCCATATTCTGTATCACCAACCAGAGGACAACTGTTTCATAGATAAGCTCATGTTTATGGATATGTTACTTCAGCCGCATATTTATCACTAGATGAACTGAACAGCACTGAATCTCCACTATTCACTATCACAGAGCGAGCTGGCACGAGTTATTAATGGCAATTTTTGGTGGAAATAGGCCGGCGAGATTACAATTCTCGTCTCTCCCCGCCGGTGGAGAGCCACCTTTATGCTAAGTTTTTATAAGAAAGCAGTTAATTTGTGAGGATTCGATCTACAGCTATTACACTCACGAAGTGTATTTTAGACATCTTACCTTCCCAATCCATGCATGCAAATGGTTGCAATAGTTCCGTGAAAGATAAATTGTTCTTAGCCACCACATTATCTACTTTTTGACTGCACAATACGGCTACAATGGGTGAAAATGAGCACTGAATGAACTCTTGTGCAGTCTTCCCTGCTCTCGCCATATTTCACAAAATTCTCGTTAACGAATTAACACAGTGGTTCTTCATTAAAGTTTATTCAATCTCATTTTGAGTGAACCTTGAAAACTTATTTATTTTTTAGACGCAAAAATATGAAATTAATGTAATAGAATTCCAATTGCAATGACAGAACCAGTGTTGCCAGACTTTTGTGAAGTTAATTCGTCAATTTATGTATGTAAAGTAGCCGATATTAGCCCAAGCCATAAAATCCCTAAAAAACACTACGAAACAATAATTATTTTATACATTTACGTTACCACTCATTAATGTGTATGATAATTAAAATCCACAAATTGATACATCGTCGCGTCGTCGTGACTGTTGGAGGTAAGTCACTAATAAATATATAAAATTGTTTTTTATAATTAATGTTTATTTTTCTCAACTTCTCATACAACGATCTATCGTCCAACGAAAAAGTAGAGAATACAGAGTAGATCAACTCATCCAGAGAAAAAGTTAAGCAGCAATTTTTTTAAATGTTATGAGGATTATAATTTTTTGTTAATACACGTGTTGTTTTGAGTTAAATTGAGTACTTGGTGAATTTATATCCTACGTGCATCAATATATTATTATTTAGGTATATACAATGGGTTACATCTATGGAAATAAAACTCAAAATTAACAAATAAATAGTGGCGCCAACTCTTAATTCATATAAGCTCTATTATTAATAACTTTAATATTATAGTTAATTTCGGTCATTATAATACTGATCTAAATGTGTAGTGCAGTCGCTATATTTTAACACCGATTCTCGATTTCCCTGATGGTGTCCTGTCCCTGGTTCATGAAATTTAACGAGCTTTGTAGGTACAAGTAAATAGTAAATTTTATTGTCATCTTCCAGGATTGATAGCTGAACGGGAAAATAAACAAATAATTACATTTTTATTTATATCAATAATATTTAATGAAAAATTCATTTTACAAAATTCTGACATACCTAACCAACCAATCGAAAAATAATAAAATTTTGCTTTGAAAATATCATAAATGCAGCACTAATTTTACATACAAAATAATTACCTACTTTATTCTCCTAAAATTAAAATCAATTAAAAATAATTTTGATCCATGGAATCGAAAAATAAGAACTAATAATTAAAATATAAGTTCAAACACTTTCTGATGCATAATACTGATTGTTCCAAATGATCTTCTATCAGAGATGTCTGGAGGTAATCATACCTAAGCCTAATGCTAAACTTTGTTCTGTTAGAAAATGTCGAAGGTAGTGAAATGGCTATGCGCAATCTAGTATCTCATAATTAAACCTCATAGAAGAAATTTTGTACATTTTTTACGTTATTTGAATAGAAAGTGTTTTGTATCAAGGCCTTAAAACAGACTCCTTAATAAAGTCTACAGGCTGATTTAAGAATTCCCCATGTCGTTTTATTTCTTTATGTCAGCCCGGGACATCTTTTAGTTTATCTAGCCGTAAATTCATCTATTATACTGTATATATGTATTTACAAATAAAAATAAAAACAATATTTATCTAAACAAAAATAATCAATACAATCAACGTTCTCTAGAGCCGTATAAAATTTAAGCATTCACACTTACATACTGCACTATAAACTGGTGTCTTATTTCCTCAAATATAAGATTTAATTTTCATTAGTATTAACTCGTATGCTTGTGATTATGTACAAATAAATTCTATTACCCCTATTACGAATATGATTAGAATTACTTTTTTTAAATATCAATATGCGTATATTGATATTATGTAACTTTTTGTTTAGATAAATATTTAATAATTACGAGTGAGAAAATTATTACGCAGGCTTGAGAGAAGCTTTACGATGAATACGAGAAAGACCGAAGTTGACCTGCAAGCTAATTCAAAAAAGGTCCCAAAATGTACCTTGTGTTCCCTATTCATCTCACATAAAATATGGAAAAATAATTTTAGCTGCCATAAACTAAGAACTATTCAGAAGTTCGCTTAGTATAATAAAAAAAAAAGAATTAAAATATGATTGAATCCAACATATGGATAATTGCTGCCCAAATGAAATGCTATCTGTACAATATAATATCATTCATTTGCCTTTTTCGTTTGCATTAATATCTAATTTTATTAGTTATAGATATACAGCACTATTAAACGTTATGCCTCTGGAGCCGAAGGGCAGCGGCATGTTTAAAGTAGCTAATATCTGTTGCGCAATCTGTGACATCACACTCGTTGCACCGTGCCCTGCCATGGTCGAGCAGACCTAAGACCGTTAACAGTAAACTCGTCATCAAAACGATCCGGAATTTCTCATAAGACACAATTTCATAAAAATATTATTCGACGGTAAAAAGTCCACTCCCGATCGGTCGGAACAGCACGGTTCGCTTACTCGACAGATTACTCGAATCGTATATTTTACAAGGCTAAGTACATTGTTTACATTTATAACTATTCGAAGTTGGAGTTGAACATATTTATGTTCAGGTCCTCGAAGGTGGCGCCGCCGCTCTGATCCAGGATCTGCAGCATGTCGGAGAGCTCGTGTGGTGCGTGGCCACCATCCGGCGCCGGTGCCGCACCGCCTGCGCCGCCTTGCCACGTCCACATGCCTGCACAACCTTATAGTTAACCACGAACAGAGCTATGAATAGATAAAATGTTGTAACTATGAACACGCCGTGTATTTACCGTGTGTAGGATGCGGATGGTGATAATGTGCGGTAGGCGGCAGATAAGCGGGTGCCGGTGGTGATCGCGCGGGACTACCGTCCGCCGGCGGACCTGTCGTCGCGCTGCTGTCACCGCTATACGCATATGTCTCGTTACTCGTACCACCCTGCACGAAAAATGAACACGGCATTGCTTCCTTAGAATCGTTTACGTGAAATTATCCAATCACGTAAATTGATCAACCCTCTCGAGAACGTGAATGTAAAAGAACTGACGGGGCGTAGTGTAGTCCATGTAGTATGCGGTGGAGTGTTGGCAGGTCGATGTGGTGAGTAGTCAGGTGCGTAGTGCGGGGCGTAAGGCGGCGCCGCAGGGCCCACTGCCGCCGCCGGAACAGCACCCACGGACTCGCTTGGCGAGCGTGCGTGGCTCACTGCAACACACATACCATCTTCGCATTACATGATTATTTTTTCAGACAGAAGTGTTTGTAAAAGGTGTGAAACACCACTAACGAAAAGAACAAACCAGGCGGTGCGTGATGCTGTTGGTGAAGGGGCGGTTGGGCAGCTTGATATACGTCTCGATGACGTAGATGGTAGTCGTAGTTTTCTTCGGGTGCCGGCTCCCCAGTAGTATTGCCTAACGATCGACTGCAAAACAACACTCATGTGCATTGTTGTAATCTTTTAAATCGGAATGAAAGGCATTATTTTAAATTAATAACTCACTTGGCCAAAGTATTTGTGCATACAATGTACTCCACATCGTCATTGTATGGATTCAGGAAGGCGAAGGCGGAGGTTCGGAGCCAGATCCACTCTCTGTTTTTAGTTCGAAACCGGTACATCAAAGAGATGATTTGGCCTTTCAATTTCAACACTGCAACAGATTTCAAAATTTAGCGAAATGCTCATAAACACAGGACAATATAACTAGTAAATCACAATTTCATTTACTGATAATTATCAATAATTATCAAAGCAAGAGTCAGAATTTTATTGAAATATTTATAAAAATATATTTTCCTTACGGGACAAATTTGTAATATTTATCTCCCTAACATAATAAGTCGAAGTTTAAAACCATGACACGAACCTAGGCAGATAGATAGATAAAATCTTTATTCACCACCATGACAAATACATACACAGACACACGATATAGACATTAACTTAGACGTAACACAGTAATATATTCTACTAGTATCTGTCTTGGAAGCCGTGGCAATGAAAAGGCGCTGACTCAGCATAAATGACGCGGCTGTCCGCGACACTGGTATTCTGCCAGGACCCTATAGGGACAGGGACGCCACTCGTAAAAACCCAAAAGAAAACCAATTTAATTCAATTCAAATTCTAACAAATTCAATTCAATTTAACTCAATTCAATCCAATTTAATTTCATCCAATTTATTTATTTTTTTTTTCTCAAACACCTTAGCTATTCATATTTCCAAATTTTGCATATTTAAAAGATACTCTTGCAGCTTCTGCTTGAAAGTTCTTTTTGTGACGCTGTTACGGATAGTAGGAGGAATATTGTTCCAACAACGAACCTTGATCAAAATTGTCTCTCATATGCTGCTGGTCCTCAGGATGATAGAACTCGTAACAGAGCTTGCCGAGGAGGTCTGCTGGCGCATAACCCACCACCTGTGTGGCGCGCTGATCTGCGAACGTGAACCGCCCGTCTACCGAATGCCGCGACACAAACTCCACTCCACCACTGCACAAGCTGTTCTCAGAGTTGTTAGGAGTTGACGTCACCTGTATCAATCATTCACACATTGACATTTAATTTCAGCAGAGTCAGTATAAGAGACAATAGTAATAATAAAAACAAACATATACTCGTATTCAATGATATAAGGTCATTGCATATATTACTTAAAAATTTGCAATATTTTCCAAAAATATATTCCATGTATCGTCACGTGTGGTAAGTAAGTAGAGTTTTAGTTGTGTAAATTTACATCACTGTTATAATGTACGTAACTATTTAGCCAACTTCTACTACAATTTAAAAAATAAAAACAAATCTATAATTCTATGTGTGTTGAAAATAATTTTGCAATTTGAATTAACTTTTACTTAAATTGTATAAACTATAGTCTGTTCCAATCCATTGTACAGGGTCAAGAGCACGTCAAGCTTGACACTTAAGACTTAAGGCGACGAGGTGCTCAAAATCGCTTAAATATGGTGTTTTTGTGTAACTTTTTAGCCGATAACACAGCACGTGGAACTTTGAAAATAGTACATCCTGTAACACGTATCTTGAAGTGTAGCTTGAAAATCCTAGAAGATTGCTTATTTTCATAGGTAATACAAAAACTGGATTACAGTGAGACTCTGGTGGTTATTTCTTGACATATTTTTCTCGGGCAAACCAAACTTGCTTACTACCAAATTTGGTGTGATTATTTAAATGGCATTTGTCTTGATCCTGACACTTTATTTGTTTTAAATAATAAACAAATAACAAATTTAGGAGTAAAAAGTGACTTTCGCCTAAACGAGCTAAATATTTGCTTGCAAATTATGGACAGGCACTTCACAGTGTGAAAAAATGTCATACACAAAAAAATATGTAAATAAGTAAATATAATGCACCAATTCGTTGAAATCGAAAGAAAATATTTAAAAAAAGTCAAATTTAGCCATTAGGTGAGAATAAAAAAAGATATATTTTTTGTTGGATTAGAACATATATTCAAAACAAAAATGAAATTATTGTTTGCGTCCTTGATTATTTAGTAAAATTGCAACGTTGAAAACTTCTGCTGCGTAGCTTGCGTTCGTGGGATACGTTGCCAAACCTTTGTTTTGACATGGTTTTAACAAATTAATTTATATTGTATTGTAATCGGCTGTCTACCGTCGAGCACGATACTTACGAGATACGTAGTTGGACATAGTTATGCAAACTATAACCAACCCACAAAATGTCACTTTCGAGATAATTAGGTTTTTGTAATAACAGTGTAAGCAATAAATAGGTAAGTTATTTGAGACTAGAGATGCGCCGAGTACGCGTTTGCTACTCAGTACTCGGTGTACTCGGCGGAATAACTCGGTTCATGAGAAGAGAACTCGGTTAAAATAAAGCATCACAGCTATAGACATAAAGTAAAATCAACAATATATTTAAAATATTCAAAAGAGATTTATTACTAGAAATTGTAGACAATTGTAACAATTTAGTAATTTAAAAAGAAAGTTTACATTATGAATATTTAAAATTTAACAAAGGCAAGTTATGATGTAGGAATATTTACAAAACTTCAGTTCAGGTAATAGTCTGTTCCTTTTTTGTTCATACACATTACCCGCTTCGGCAAATAACCGCTCGCTATACACAGTGCTTGCAGGTGCACATAAAAACACTCTTGCTACCTGTGCCAGTTTTGGATATTTTGTTTTATGCTCTGCCCACTATTAGAAAGGACTCTGCTCTCGTGACAATAAACTTTCATTGACATATCGGCCTAATTCTAGAGCAACGGGGGCTTTTAGGATCATCGCGTTCCGGTTGTAATGAACCGAGTAATTCGGCCGAGTACTCGGCTTGGCAAATGTTAAACCGAGTAATCTTCGGCACTCGGTTACTCGGTAAAACTTGTACTCGGCGCATCTCTATTTGAGACAAACGATGTACTGTAGCAGTGAAAACGATATAGGAAAACTATTATATAATATAGTAATAAATAGAAAACATTATGTATCTTTTTATTTAGTTAACGAGAACCATGTTCTAGTTTTCGTAATGAAAACGCCAAAGATCTACAGTACTTCAGTACATGTGACATGGATCCGTTTAGTTTATTTAAAAAAAGACATTATATGAAATTAAGCAGCAAGGTTCTTTTTAGCTGTTAAAAAGTTACTTATTTAGGGTTGGTACCCTGAAAGACTTTTATTTTCTCCGTTTTGGCTTGGTATGTTGCCAGGATCTTTTGTGAGCGAGTAAAGGACACGTCTGGTGTTCTACCTAAATACGTAACTCAATTTCACTCGAGGTGTGGCTTGTTTCTTGTTTGCATAACATGTCCAGTTCATAAAAGCTTTGATATTTTTTGGTTTGATAGCATGTGTGTATTTTAAATACAAGGCCATCTGTTAGTGGCAATGAATATTATGTTAAATCAAGTAGAAGGTCCAACTACCACTCTTACCGCATCGGGGCGTATGGCGCCACCTTATTGGAGAAATTATAGTAGGCGCGCTATCGCTCAAGGTCATCGACGCAAGGTCATCGACGCTTGTCAGCGTCTTAAATCCAACTCGATGCTGTTTACGATTATAACGATCCAAAGTACAAAGTGTCAAGCTTGATGTGCTCTTGACTACACCATAAAGGTAAACAAACAGATAATTGATGGTCGGGCCATAGACAGTTTATTGATTGCAAACTGTACTGCCAACTACAAATAAATAAATTAATTGAATTTATCGATTTATCGATTCAATGAAAATCAGTTAGAATAACTGGGTTTTATATAATAAAATGGGTTTTGCAATTTCGCTGCTGATTACAATAAAAAAAAATGTGATTCAATACTGAGTGACGATATTTCATACATGAGATTATAATTTTTTCTTACTTATCCTATAAAAGCAAATTTAAAATTTCCGAAATCTTATTTCAAATGCTCCTTCAAATCCTTACACTTAGATATTCGTTCGATTGTGATTAAATTTTCAATTCACAAATCGATTACCAAAAATTTAATTGAATGAACTGAAAAGTTATTTCCGTGCAACTCTATGCAAACAGACAATTTTGAAAAATAACCTTACTTTTGAAGTAACATTTTTCAAATAAGACTTTACTATGTTATTAAAATGAATATTGCTGGAAAAAGTGATGAGATATCAAGTCGAAATCTTCAAAATATACGTGAAAGTGTTACTTATTCCATATATTGAATTTTAACCAAACTGGTTTGTTTAGTTTTCTGCTATAATGGACTGGAACAGACTTTATTACATCTCATTAATCATTTTGTTTTTATAACAGAAGTTGTAGTTGTACCTATTTCACGTTTACATTTTTTTAAAAATTTTATTATTTTTTAAAAGTAATTGCGAATAAAGTATAAGGAATTACCTGCAAGCGACCAATAGCGACCAGGCAACAATGTGACGCGTGAAGCTCGTCTTCGACCGGACGATCCATCTGCATACCTGGAAACAGGTCTAAAATCACACCACACATAAACTTACGCACATTAAACTTATCATCTAAATTATTTGGTACAAATAGCTAAAATATGTAGCAAATATTTTAGATTTTAGTCCTTTTGATGTTACCTGTGGGTGGCCAGTTTTTAATGTATCCTGTGCAGTGTACTACAGCATAGTTGTGTCCGTCGTGAGAGGGACCGAGGGAGTTGCGAGCGCGCAGACGACCGAGGTGCGCGCCTTCAGCAGAACCACCAACACGCATGCGGCAGATAAAACCACGCCTTGACCCCATCACTTGACGCATGGAAGCTATAATAAATAGGTCAAAATAAACCAATCAATTCTCTGTTACCATCCAGAATACCACAATAATTTGACATCATTTTACTTACACTGATGGCCCTCTTTCTTCACAGTTCCTGTCTTGAGATCAAGAATGCGACCTGTGTTCTGAGGCTCCTGTGTACTCAATTGCTCTCGAACCTTTTCAAGGTCGTCTGGGTGTACTTGGTCGTATAAACATGACGAATACCATTCCGCCTACAAGCAAAATTCAAAACGTAACACCTATTAAAAATTCATGGTACCTAATGTACCTACAAGGATGTAGGATCTTTACCTGTGTGTAGTTAAGAACTGGAGCTATGCTGTCACTAACATAAATTACACGTCCAGTGTCGCAACTGACGACGAACAGGAATCCGTCAGCCGCTTCAAGGATTAGATGCTTTAATTCTTGATCAGTCAGGAATGATGGTTTGTATGTACCATCGGAAGAAGTATTGCCTGTTCCTGAAAGAGTTGCAAAGTTAAAAATACTCATACATGTATTAAAATTATTTGATTAGTGTGATATGCCACTTTGCAAACATTTTGCATTTTTGCAAATTTTTGAACTTTTTTAAATTCAAACAGCAGGGCCTTCAGAACGGGCATTCCATTACCTCTCAAGGCTTTCATGTGCGCCACAGCCATTCTCAAGATAGTGAGCTTGTCGGGCTTGCGCGCCAGAGCGGAGCATGTTGGAACCATATCAGACAGTTCCGTGATGTACGCTGTCATCTTGTTTCGTCTGCGACGCTCGATCTCGCAGTGATTTTCGCGGCTAAAATATCGCACGGTATCAATATAGTAAACATTGTAAGCGAAAGAAACTTGTTAACTTCTAAAGACATAGATATAAACAAAACATTTTTATATCAAAAAACAGATTTGAGCAAAGTAATATCATTATTATGGGCACTTTAAAGCGACGGAAAGTTGCGCGAATCGCGTGATAAGACACGTTTTCAATCACCACACGGTAACTTAACAATAGATTAGTGTGGGAATGATGGGGGCCTTCAAATTGTGATTTGAAAATATAAATTGCCAACTATGTACATACGTAAATTTAAACACAGTATGAAATTCCAGTTTTTATCCAATAATAGAACATAAGAGTTAAAATGTATTTTGATAAACAGGAATATTATAATGATGTATGCATATATCTTTACCTTGCAAACCTCTCCTTCTCTTGAATATTATCCTCCTCCATCCTTGTATATTTCCCGCCACTTGCGTCGTCTTCATCGGATCTATATAATGAGAAATATATAAACTAATACATTAAAATAAACATGCAATGCTACAAATTCCGATAGCTTTTACATAATAAAATAAATTTAAAAAATTCACACAATAAATGAACTAATCGTTTTGGAATTAAATGCTAGTGTGTAAATAAACATAAATCTGTAAATATAAATATTTAATGAACTCAGTTAACCTAGAAGACATATTCATCTCTGTAAGTTTAGGGTGTAGAGGTGAGAAGTTATGTAGTAAAATTAATACATGGATAATTTAAAAACTAATAACAGTAGTGGGATTAAAAATGTGTGAAATGGTTCCTAGTGATCAATAATAAACACAACTAAAATGGAAAAATTAACAAAAAAAATTTATGCACCTTTGGTGAAACTAGGAAATGCCTTACAATACCTACAAATTGTTTAGTCACAAATGTGGCACATTAAATCTATTTTTAAAGGAATATAATGCTGCCCTCCTTATCATAACCAATATTTTTAGCGAAACTGAGTTATTAACATATAAATTAAACTGGGATATTACATTTTTATTGTTAGGCAAAATCAGCGCAACTGTCATGTGTCATAGTAAAATAAACAGGTGCTAATGTCCCAAATGTTAACAAAATACAAATTTGCAGTTACGACGTTAGTTATGACAAGGAGGGGAGAGCAGTTGAATCGCAATGTATACTGTCAGCTATATAATATAACTTAAATACAATTAATGAAGTAGAAACATACTTAAAATATGTTTCCTTAAACAAGGAAAATAAAGACTTGTGCACAATATTTATGTTAAGTACATTACTGTCTCTATGGTCGAACTGTTACCCCATGCTGGTCTGCCATGCAGAGGTCGCGGGTTCGATTCCCGGGACGGGTGAAATAGTTATATGGTCTACTCCTCTTTCTCTCATGGGTTTGGTGTAATTTGTGGTTGTCTATGTGTGTGGCACCTGCGACACAGGGTGTGTTGTTTATTATTAAAATTTTAATTTCTAGAAATGAGTAGCTTTAATTTGATAATCATCAAGAAGATATCTCTCTACAGCTTGTTCAATCATTAATTAAAATGCAATAATTATGTGCTTTTTAAAAACAGTAAAACACATTTCATATACATGTGTTTAACAGAATGAAGTACAACTGATTTAACCAAGAGCATCTTTGTAGGCTTCTTCGCTTGATCTATAAATTTTTATACAACTTTAGTTAAAAAAAATTTTCTAATTCAACTCCTTAGGTGCCTATGTTGCTCATGTAAAATTGTAAACTTACTGCGCTAATAAGCATTAAAATGTTGATTTGCCAAAGTGACAAATGCGCATGCAGTCTGACTCACCCAATACTGCCAGCACGGCGCTTTTGTATATCCTTTGCTGGGTCAGCCCCTATAACAATAATACCTTTACATTTTATGAACACCTACAATGACATTCCAAAACTGTGGACTGCACTGTTTGCATTTATTTGTAGTTCTGGGGTGGTCAGAAGTAAAAAGTATTATTCAGGCAGTTTTCACACCTTTGTGTTACTATTTTTTTGGATTATACTATTATTATTAAAAAAGTTATTACTGTATGAAAGTTAGATTTAGGTGGCGGAGAGCCTAGAGATTTGCAACACAGGTTTTTTTCTATTGCAAACTCCAGCTCTCTTGAAGTTACCTTTATAGAGTAATAAACATTTTTGTATTAAAATTAATTATATTTTGTAAAATTTAATGATGAGATTGTCTAAAACTACAACCAAAGAAACTAAAGTGAAAATTGGTTTTTCTTAAATTGAAAATAATCTTTTCAAGGCATAAATGATAGCCGAATGATAGCTAGATAGAATAGGTTTAGTAGGGCAATTAATTTTTTTTATTACATTGTCAGCAAGAAATCTTGCTTGTTTAGAGAGTAGGTATGTGTGTTACCAAGGTCATACAATTAATATCAAGGCAAATGAGTTGATTCAAAATTATTATGTACCAATCACAATGTATGTTTAACTTTTCATTCCATAATATAAACATGCAAAGTACTGAATAAGCTGTATTCGACAAAGGCAGAACATAGAGTAGGCTCGTCGTGAAACTACCTATTTATTCAGGATGGAACTTTAGCTAGTTTGTATTCAAGGCATACTTGTTTCATCAAAGGTGTTGCATTGATTGGGGCATGACTTTCTATACAACTTTCATGGAATTATTATTATATACACTTCCTGGGAATTGTAACACAATGAGAACGGATTTTCATAAACGAAATACATTTTCGCATTCTGTGCGTCGCTAAGAACGCGTCACGCGAAGCAACGTCAACTAAATAGGTCGATAACTTCACAGCTTTCTACTACCTTTTCATCGTACCAGTTAGAGTTAGATATAACCTCCAAAGCACAGTTTAATTGTGCTTTGAAATTCCACAGGATAAACGATCACAGGCAAGAATTTATTAGGAAGACAAAAAATAAGAGCACCAACCGGGGATAGTGGGAGCCACGGCAGACATCGGTCAACAAACTCATTAGTCCACGTTATATTTACACTAGGTAGTTATATAATTGAAAGTTAATTAGAACACAAAAAAAAACCTCAAATTCTACACAAAAGACACGACGTATGTTTATCGTCAACTCTTCAAGACAACACAAACGCCATTTTTAATTTACATGTTATGTTGCTATTTTACATACATTTTTTTCTACTAATTCGATTAAATGTTGCTATAGTACTTTTACAGGTTTGCAACACGAAGGTGTCGCGTGATGTAAATTGCCCTTTTAAGTGTTGCTTCAAAAAAGAAAGAATTATTGTTAATTTAGATAATTTATAAAAATAATAGATATCTTTAACGAAACGCCTGCGAAGCAAGCCTTCCGAGTCTAGGGGTCGTATTCTAGAACTCTACTCAATGCTCAAGGTAGGATTCAAGTTAATTCAGGAGGTCAAGGATTTGAGTATGGTTTAAAGCACTCGAAATCATACTCAAATCCCTGCCATTAGGGTCGTATTTCAAGTGCTTGAAATCATACTCAGATCCTGACTTGAGCATTGCGTAGAGTTCTGGAATACGACCCTAGGTATAGGTTAGAGAAAAGAAAGAAGTCTTCAGTTGGAAGTAGATAAACCTTAGCTGGAACTGAAAATGTTTTCTTTTTATGCACCCTAATTTTATTCTCTAAAAAGCTTTTAATTTTATAATACCTAGAAAAGCCGTCTAGATTTTTACCGAACAGTTTTTTAAATTGCTGTTGTTAGAAAACACTGGCCACTGAATTATTCCTTTGTTTAAAAATACTTGTTCCTATCAAACAAATGTATTACAAAAATGATATTTCATAGAATTCAAAATTATGTTAATTAAATAATCGCATCATAGATAAATTGATTCAATAAATAACGAACATGGATGGTGAGCCAGAAACTTTGTCTGAAACAACTACGACGAATTGTAATATTACCTCTGATACACTTTCAGACTACAATCAAGCCAAATTAGACTCGCTAGAGAAAAAAGCTGTTCACTTGAGGTTAGTTGCTATTGAAGCATCTATTTTTGGGCATTAAATAAAGGATGGTGTCGGTCCCTTCCTTTAGTAACTTATTTCTTCTATATTTAAAAATAGCTGTGTTCTATATGCATTTATTCGAATAATTGCAATTTGATATGTTTGAACACAAAAGTTCGCATCTTATCCCCTATTTTTGCATCATCCTATCATAAGGAACATTTGATACTGATCAAAAAGTTACCACCACCAGTACCTATTTTATATTGTATCCATCTACCTTCTTTCAGACTAATTTTAGAAAAAGATTTTAAAGCAGCTGATATAAAATGGAGCTTGTTTGTGGCAGCAGCTTTCAGTTTTCGCTATGAGAGCTGTCTTCGACCTTTTCCGCCGGCCTTCTTGAAAAATGGAATCAAGGATATGGATGAATTAGTAATACAACCCTAAGTTTATGCTAGCTTCTTTTAAATATTTTTAAATCATGACGTAGCTATTCAGTGTTATTCATATTCATTAAATGCATAAAGTTACTTTGAATAAAGAGACTGAAAAAACCTGATTTTACTTTGGGAGTAACTATCTGCCAACATCTTAAATGCCAAATGAAAAAATTGGAAATTATTAAATTAGTTTTTTATTTCTTTGAACACAATTTAAAAAATTCAAACCCTATCACTAACGGTTTTCTTGCTCAGAAAACATGTTTGAGAGATGGTTGTTAATAAAAAAAAATACGTTTTGTGTTCTAGCTAAGCATAATAACTGATGTCCCTGCCCTGGACCTGGTGCTGCAACAACTGGACAATCTGGACAACCTGGCGCATATTAGCGACATTCTTGATCTGCTGTTTTACGTATTGGTTAGATTAAAAGAACCTATACTCAGGACAATGCCGCCAGAATCGGTAATACGTGCGATAATCTCATGTAGACCATTAAGTATAAAATATTATTCCGTTATCGATTTTTTCAGCATGAAGTTATACTGAATTGTGCACACTCTTATCACCCGGCGCCAAAGCCTCAGTACGTTTTTCAAGTTATTAGTTCAGTAAAATCAACATCGGAAGCGAAGTGGAAAGAATTGGCTAAGCACCACAGTGTCTTCTTTGCTTACCACGGAAATCGTTTAGAAAACTTTTACACAATACTGAACTTTGGTCTTCAACAACATCTGAACAAAATAAACAAGGTAATCATCGACATGTTATCTTTTCATTTAATACGTGAGTACATAATTACTTACCTGTTTCTAACGCCAAACAGTATAATGTCAACATTATAGTGTGTTCCATTTTGAAAGGTGCCTACAAATACGAACGACAGTGTCGATCGACATCGACAAATGTCGATTAGGTGCCTATAGATATAATCGATATTGTCGATCGACTAGGAGAATTATAGACGTTTTCGAGTTGTTTGGGAGTGCTTATTGAGAATTAAATCCAAGATGGTTGCCAAGAATTTTCAAAAATTTATTTTTGGTACCTAATGCTTATAAATGTTGTTATTATGGAAATGGCATTTCTATCTGAATACATGACGGTTGAGACGACTTTTCGCATTTCTAAATGCAAGATGGCGGGCAGTATTTTTCAAATAATGGCAAGTTGGGTATCGTTTTCGAGGTATTTGGGGGTGCTCATTACAAATATAGCACTTATTTCTAAATCCAAGATGGCGGACACGATTTTTCGAATAATGGCAAGTTGGGTATCATTTTCGAGGTATTTCGGGGTGCACATTACGAATATAGCACATGTTTCTAAATCCAAGATAGCGGACACGATATTTCAAATATCGGTATGTTGGGTATCATTTTCGAGGTATTTGGGGGTGCTCATTACGAATACAGCACTTATTTGTAAATCCAAGATGGCGGACATGATTTTTCACAAAATGCAATATGGGTATCGTTTCGAAGTATTTGGGGCAAGGACCGGAAAACCCTTTCATTTGATTAATCCTATTGATAGGGAAACCCTATTAAATGGATACCCATATAATGATATGGTTTTCCATACAATTATGTTAGCCTATCATTTGGAAATCCTTTCGAACAAGGTTAACTACTATTTTTATGGGTAAGAGGTAGATCAATAACCACTTACCATTAACTAAGTGTTACCCGTTCGAGTATACAACACGGGAGAGGGGAGACGCTTTACGCATTATTTCTCAAATAAAAATGTTTCTGCCTTTATTTGAGGTTAGTGTTTTAAAAGTTCGAGTTCGGTGGTCTACAATTTTAGGATTCGACTCTAATCACAAGACTCTTTACTGCTCGATGTATTATGACCCTACCTAGTTTCGAAATAGAATAATGCTCTTGACTCTGTAACTAACTGTACCGGGTGGAAATTTGTAATGCCACCTGGAGGGAAAGTACTCTCAATACTGGAGATATAAATTTTTACTTAAAGGAAACATTCCTTTATTTTTTAAAAGAAATAAAACTGCATTTATAGATTTTCGAAAATTTCTAGCAACACGCGGGAATCGAACCCGCTTTAATCTGAAAAACATGCACCCTGCACTTTTATTGCATCGATCGATAAGGTTAATTATAAGAATAAAATCGCTCTCACAATATTGGTTAATTAAATGAAAAAAAAAAACCATGAAATCTAAACGTATTCTAATAAAACGAAAAAAATGGTAATCTAAGTAATTATTTGCTCGAAATGAGCTCCATTTTCTTGGATACACAAATGTAATCATTTAACGAATTCAATTTGAGTAACTTTTAATAACGTATTGTGATGAATTGTATTACAAATCGTATTCTGAACCTCGCCTTCAACTCGTTTACACTCGCATAGGATTTAAGGTAAATTTGATTTTTAACATATACCCACCAAAAAAAATCTAAAGGAGTGAGATCTGGTGGTCTCGCAGGCCATCTGATTGTGCCGTTTGTACCAATCCAGGTATTAAAATGGTTACTAATGTAGGCAGTAGTGACTCTGCTGTTATGGGCTGGAGCGCCATCTTGCTGCAGAATTATTCGATTGCGCTCTTCCTCGGATAAAACATTTAACTCATTTCTTAAGAGATCCAGTATTTCAAGATACTTGACAGTGTTCAAATGACCTTCGTACACGTGGACTAACACAACCATATTTCTCATAACTCCGCACCAAACGTTGAAAGAGAATCTTACTTGATTGTTAGTTTCATGAACATGAACAGGATTCACTCGAGACCAATAATGGTTATTGCGGCGGTTGTACATGCCGTTATTACTGAAGTTGGTTTCGTCAGACCATACAATGTTACTCAAAAAATTCGGGTTACGGCCAACTTCTCTTAGCATGTTTTGACAAAATTGAAGTCGTCTCTCACAATCCCCAGGATTTTTGCATCAATCGGCCGTCACGATAACATTTATATTTATATTTTTTAAGCACTTGGAGTGCACGAGTGTGGTTCGTTCCAATATCTTCTACAGCATCTCTGCTTGAAGCCTTTGGAAATGCTTCGAAGTATGTTAAAACATTAAGATCGAATTCGGAATAGTTCTGTTGAGGAGTTTGCCGTCGATTTTCGTAGCTACCCGTGTTTCTTAAATTATTTACCATTCTTTTCAGAACGAATCGAGTTGGTGATTGTCGATCCCGATATCTCTCTTCATACCACCGCAGAGCTAAATTCACATTTTTGTTATTTAAAAAATAAGCTTCCATTAAATCAAACTGTTCTTGATATGCCATTTTTACAATGAGACAAATATGAAATTTATTTATTTATAGGAAAACTATCAGTACTTAGAAAGGATATGTGAAAATAATCAAATGGAAATAACAAAAGACTATCCCCTTTCAAATGAAACATGTCATATTTAAATTACCTCATGCCACCGATCAAAGAGTCTGCATTACAAAGTGAAAATTGCAATCTTCTTATCTAAATAGTACTTCGTCATTTTAATGGATAAATGACGTCAACGATAATTAACACGTAATCTTACGGACCTTTGAGTAAAAGTGCTTTAACTTGACCCATTGAATTTATAACTCCAAATTATATTATTATAGATTAGACTATCATAATTGACCCTATCGTTTGATTTAATAAAAGTACAGGGTGCATTTTTTAAAAGATTTTAGCGGGTTCGATTTCCGCGTGTGGCTAGCAATTTCCGAAAATCTTTGAATGCAGTATTATTTCTTTTTAAAAATATAGGAATAAACATTCCTTTAAGTAAAATTTTCTATTCCAGTATTTAACGTACTTTCCTTCCAAGTGGCATTACAAATTTCCACCCTGAAGTTTCGTGTGTTGTTAAGATATCACACCAATATTAATTAATTGTTTTTGTCTCATGAGAAGTGCGTCTACGTCACGATTAACGTTTGTTAAATAAAATCTATAATATGGTTCGTCAGGCCCATGATTAAGGGAAGTATAATTGCAATATGACCTTTTAGATCGGTAATTCAATACTTGCAAAATGTTGGCTTAACTCGAAATATTTTCAATCAAATGTAATCGTTATTAATATAAATATCGAACACTCAGAAAAAATTCCTTCGATCCGGTCGGATTCGAGCCGATGTCTTCTTGCATACCGTGCCAGACGCTATACCAACTAAGCCACGGAACGAACCAACGGACCTCACGAATTTTTCTGCGTGCTTGCGTCGTGTCTTTGTACTTGGTCTTTCAACGACTTTTTAGTCGTAGCGCCATCTATGAGAAATCTATGACAGATTTATCACCCAGTTAGTACCTTTACAGCTACCAGTCCTGGCGAGAGATGTCGCTATACACTGTATTAATTAAATTTTTTATTGAATTGATATTCTATTATTTTTTTGTGAAATTACTTCACTAGTTTGTTATAATTATTAATAGATCGAACACTCAGAAAAAACACTCAGAAAAAAATTCCTTCGATCCGGTCGGATTCGAACCGACGCACTATGGAAAATTTAGGCCTGTTTCGGACCAAAAATCTGTAACTTTTGAGTTTTTTGAGATATAGCTTTGATTTTTTTTATATACACAGTGGGATTGATGTAATTTTTTAAATACATATCAATTTTTTTTAACTACCCGCAATTTTGACAAAAAAAAATGTGCAAAATGGTAAATAGGTACTACCCGATTTTTAAAACTCGAAACGACCCGAAAAAAATTATATATGCATTGTTACGATTATTCTTTATTTGTAAAGTAAGACAAATGTGATTAAAAATGTTTTCTTCAAACAACAAAAGATTTTTTTTAAAGGGGAAAAGAAAAAAATATTAAAACAGACTTGTTATTATTTCGGATCTGTTTTCGACTCTTGCCAATCTCTTTTATCATTGCTAAATTATATCTATTTCAGAATCAGTGATGAGTAGATCCATTCTCAAAAGATGTAGTGTCTCCTCGTCAAACTCTTTTCGATTTTTAACATAAGGCTTCCGGATACTAGTAATAAATGGATCAGAAGTACAAAGCAACGTGTGAAATACGTCTTCATTCGTAGCAGATCTTGAGCACTTTCTTGAATGGTGTAGTCAAAATTATTTGTAATCTTTATTACGAGATTCTTGAGCGTCTTCCGAAAGCTGTCCGATAGGTAACACTGCAAAATGATTAATTATGCCTTCTCCGTGAATCAATATTTTGTGAACCGAAGATGGCATATAATACCAAACATATTTACTGACGTATATTCTTGCGGTTTCCAAAGCATATTCCCCAAATTTTTGGGAATCTATAATTATGCCAGATGATAACGCTTGAAGGATTACGCAGAGTCGCTTAATCAAAATTTCATCGACTCCTGTAATTTCAGCAGAGCAGGCAGTATTATAAAAAAACCTTCTCGCAGTGTTACCGTCATTGCTATTTCCGCCTCCTTGTCGTGGTTTGTCAATGATTAATCCAAGCTCTTCTCGAAAGCGTCTTTGTACCATTGATTTCTTTTCTTGTTTCATTCGTTTATTTTCGTCACTCGTAGCTGACCACTTTTGAAACGAAAGATTGTAAGAAATATGCAAAATCATCTCCATACAGCGAATCCAGGCGTGTAGTGTTGATAATCCATAACGAAAAGCATTTTCATTTTCGGGCCTAGCAGTTACATTTTCTAAATTATTCATTAGACGTGGAGTAGCACCACAAATAGTACATGTGGAACTAGAAGGAGTATCGGTTAATACCTGGGCCACTTTGCCATCTATCATTGTCAAAAAA